TAGGGTAGGGTCGGGTAAAAAAAGTAAAAAGGTAAGTTAAAAAAAAACTTTTCAACTTCATATAATATTATAGTGAGCCGAACGTGCCGAACGTGCTTCAGTGTTATCGTGTATATTGTTTCGGTTCGAAACCCTATTCAAAAAGGCAAAAAAGGTTTCTCAGAGTTTTCTTTTCCATTCAAGTGGAATAAAAGAGAGAAGGAATAACATACGAAGGCTCTAGAAAGTGCAGTATATTTGCTATAGTATCAACGTCATCACCGCGATAATAGTATCTTGCATCCTTTAATAATAGTTATTATACAATTATAAAATAGATTTAGCCCAGAGCCATAGCCTAGAGCCCTAGCCCAGAGCCCTAGCCCAGAGCCCTAGCCCAGAGCCCTAGCCCAGAGCCATAGCCCAGAGCCATAGCCCAAAGCCCTAGCCCAGAGTCCTAGCCCAGAGCCCTAGCCCAGAGCCCTAGCCCAGAGCCCTAGCTCAGAGCCCTAGCCCACAGCCCTAACCCAGAGCCCTAGCTCATAGCCCTAGCCCATAGCCCTAGCCCAGAGCTCTAGCCTCATTCCTATCCCTAACTGCCGTTATCTGCCCTTGTTTGCTTTGTCATTGCCTTAACCTGACGTGTTAACTTAGTCTTGCATTTTTAAGAAATTTTTTAAAATTTTTTGTTTGAATTAAATTTAGTACCTAAAATTTTAGAAATTAAAAAAAAATTTAAAAAATTTAAATTTTTCGAAAAGCGTCTTAAACTTTTTATGCCTGAACGGTTGGCAAGTGTTCAACCCACGTGAATCCATGTTTAAACAGCATATTTAACCATTTTTTGCATGATTTTCGTGCAGGCTTTCTAGTTCAACAGTTTAAAACGCCAGAAACCAATTGGTAACAAAAATTCACAATTCTTTTTTACTTATTTACATTTTAAAATTTGAGGTTTGAATACTAATGACATTTAAGGCTTCTAGTGTCTGTTATCGTTAAAGAGAGTGAGGGAGAGAGATAGAGAAAGAGGAAGAGAAAGAGAGAGAGAGAGAGTGGATGTTCCTCTTTTAAAAAATTTTTTAAAAACACTGTACAATAGGGCAAGAACTGATTGTTCTAACAGCTATATCAATATTTGTTATATCACAAGATATACATGATTCTGGTGTGTGTATTTTTGTAATGGTTTGATATGCTTTGTAGGCTTAGGTTTAAATTATAGTACATTAATGTGTCGTACGGTGGTATGATTCCAATGGCAAAAGGCAGAATAAACTTAAAGAAGTATAGTATATGCTTAAAAGTAGGGCACAATAGGCTTAAATATAAGCTGTTAAGGGCATTGTGTAATAAGCCTAAAATTATAAGTTGATAAGTATAGCACTGTGAGCTCGAGCTCAAATCCGGGTGTAGGACAAGGGAAAGAGTAGGGAAAAGTAAGCTAAAACAGGGCGGGGTAAGACAAGGTATAGAAAATAGGAGCAGGGATCATGTAATAATTGACCAAGACTAAGGAGACGTTAACTTAGAGCTAGGGCTCTGGGCTAGGGCTCTGGGCTAGGGCTCTGGGCTAGGGCTCTGGGCTCTGGGCTAGGGCTCTGGGCTAGGACTCTGGGAGATGATTCGGCCGATGTGGTTGATAAGCTCAGGCACGACCGATCTTGAGTCCGGGGATTGAGGTTACTGATTGATTGGCGTTCTCTTGAGAGAAAGGGAAAGTGCTCGTAATTTGCATAAACATTCCGAGAACGTTGGCGGCCTGAGTGCGGTCCCACACCAGGGCTCTGGGCTAGGGCTGTAGGCTAGGGCTCTGGGCTAGGGCTCTGGGCTAGGGCTCTGGGCTAGGACTCTGGGCTAGGGCTCTGGGCTAGGGCTCTGGACTAGGGTTAGGGCACTGGGCTAGGGCTCTGGGCTAGGGCTCTGGGCTAGGGCTCTGGGCTAGGGCTCTGGGCTAAGTGCTTAGCTATCAGTATCGTACACTAGGTAAACATAAAATGCAAAAAAAGACATTTTCAAAAAATACACAGACCATTTTTTTTGGTATTATATACACAAAACAAGGCTTTTTTTTCATAAAAGAACATTGAAAAAATCCTTTTCACTGTTCACATTGTAAAAAAGCTATTACAATATAATGTTGTTTAATTAGGTTTGAAGTATACATAATTAAGCAGCTAACAAAGACAAAGGACAACACCAAAGCGTAGCAAAAAAAATGTTTGAACACCCCCACCGCCTTTTTTTTCTTCTTTCTCCCCCCCCCCCCATCTCCTCCCTCCCCTCGGCTTCCGCCATCTACTTTGTCCTCCATACCCCCATCCTGTCCTACCTTAATAAAATTTTGTTTACCTTTATCATTTGCCCACCTCACGTTACATATTTATTACATATTTCATATGTACGTCGTACTTTTTTCGCTTTTTGGCCACACACACTCAATTCAATAAGATATATAACACAATTTCATAAAACGTAAAAATTGAATTAAAATGAAAATTTCATAGTTTATCACGCTAGCTATAATTTGAAAGAAATCCTGCCCTATCCTACCACACCCTACCCTACCCTACCCTAACCTACCTTGCCCTACCCTACCACACCCTACCCTACCCTACCCTACTTTACCCTACCCTACCCTACCACACCCTACCCTACCCTACCATACCCTAACCTCCCTTGCCCTACCCTACCCTACCCTATCCTACCCTACCCTACCCTACCCTACCCTACCCTACCCTACCCTACCCTACCCTACCCTACCCTACCCTACCTTACCGTACCGTACCTTGCCCTACCCTACCCTACCCTACCCTACCCTACCCTACCCTACCCTACCCTACCCTACCCTACCCTAACCTACCTTGCCCTACCCTACCCTATTTTCTCGTAAGACTCAAAAAACCAATTGAAACTCAAAGTATATTTTGTTCCATTCCCAAAAATTACCACACCCATAATCTATATTAACCGCAAAATCACCCTTTATAGAAAGATAATATTAACAACAAACAGTACCCCCCCCCCCTCTCCGCCCCACACCGAAAATAATATCAACCCTTAAAAATAACCCACCCGAAACCCAGATCAATACTAAAAAACACCGCGTCCAAAAACAATATCAGCACTAAAATATACCCCGCCCAAAAACAATATCAACACTAAAAAATAACCCACCCAAAACCCATATTAACACTGAAAAACACCCCGCCAAAAACATGTATCTACCTCAAAATATACCACCCCTAAAACTAACGTAAACCCCCCAAACGCCCTACCAAAAACTCATACCACCCTTCAAAATATCCCACTCAAGAAGCAATATCAACCACAAAATACCTCACCTAAAACGAATATCAACTACCAAAGTTACCCCACACAATAAGAATATCAACCTTTAAAACCCTCTCCCCCCCCTAAAAAACGAATATTAATTTAACAAACTACCCCTCCAAAACGCAACACCAAACCGCCCAAACGTAAGATCAGCCTAAAAATATCCCACCCAAAAAGATAATATCAAACCACAAAATGCCCCCCCCCCGCCCCCCATAAAACTAACATTAATCTAAAAAACTACCCCTCCAAAGACCCATAGCAGCACCAGACATTATCCCCACTTAACTCTGATATCAATTCCCAAAATTACCCTACCCAAAAATAATACCACTCCCCAAATTACCCCTCCAAAAACCCACACCAACACCAGAAACTACCTTACCCAGGCCGTTTTTTTCATTTTTATCAAACCCGCGGATTCCCATGGTCGTGGAAAAGCCTGCGGGGCCGCGGCGCACAGAGAGCGGCCGAAATGAAGAGGCCACAAGGTTGGGGCGTGAACCTTTATTTTTTGTTGCAACTCCATTTAAAGGCGAAAGAGCCTCCTGTGTTCGCTTTTTAGCCCCCCGCCCCGCTGGGCTGGGCCAGGGGCGTTATGAACTAAAGTAGAAACAGGCTGTGTAGGCTTAGGCTGACACGATCTTAACATTAAACCGGGACAGGTGGGCCTAGAGCTGAAGTTGAAAATGGCCTTGTAGGCCTAGGCTAACAAGGTCTTGCGATTAGACTGGGCCAGGTGGGTCTTAGGCTAAAGTTGAAACGGGTCGTGTAGGCCTAGACTACCACGGCCTTACCATTGGACCGGGCCAAGTGGATCTAGAGGTCAAGTTGAAACGAGTCGGGCTTAACCGTCAGACTATGGGTCTGGACCGGACCTGAAAGGAGAGCCCGACCAGTTTCTAACTTTTTTATCCCTTCCTCCCCCCCCCCCCACTTTCTTTTTTTTCTTGCCATTTATTCCTCCCCCTCCCCCCCCCCTCTTCCTTTTCTTTCCTTCTCCCCCCCCCCTCTTGCCTTATTATCTCCCCCTTCCCCCTTTTGCCTTTTGTACCCCCCCCTCCTCCCTCTTGCCTTATTCTACCATTGCCTCGTCCCCTTCTTCTCCCCCCTCTTACAGTTCAGGCATTTCGAATACCCCCCCCCCTCCTCTATGCTCCCAGCCCCTCTCCCTTCCCGAAAAAAACCCTCGCCCGACCAGATTAGGACGCAAAATTTTTTTTCGCTTTTAATAACGTGGACACATAAAAATTCATTTCAATTTCCATAACCCCACACGCACTAAATAGTCTTGTCAAAAGGCGTGAGCGAGTTTTTTTTTCTTTTTTAAAGCGCAGTGAAACAAAATGACTACATAATTGTGAATTGTAATGATGAAGATGACAAAAAAAGTTAAAAATTGTATTTTTAAAGTTAAAATCTTCAAAAAAATTATTTTTTGGGCAAAATGCCATTTTTTATTTAACAGAATACTTAAAAACCAAAAAACGACAAGAACTTTCTTTACAAAACAAAAAACGACAAGAACTTTCTTTACAAAACAAAAAATGGCAAGAACTTTCTTTACAAAACAAAAAATGGCAAGAACTTTCTTTACAATACAAAAAATCAAGATTTATTACCTAAAATACACTTGAAAAAATGATAATCTAGGTAATTTTTACAATTTATCATTCATCCGTGCTTTACTTTGATTTCTTCCGAATTTGAGGTTCATTGTCGATTTGTTCTTTGATTATTCGAATTTGCTTTTGTGACAGTCGGTAAATCAGCCTGGCTGATATGATAAGCTGAAAAAGGTAAAATACGTCGAATAGTCAGCTCTTCAAAAAAGGCATCACTATACCAATACCCATACTCTACACTAACCTATTCTACCTTGTCTTTACCTTACCCTACCCCTACTCCAACCCACTTACATACCCTACATTACCTCAAGAACATAGAACGTCAAAGTGAAAGAGAACACGATTTTCTCCAATGGAAGCTGTATCACATCAGGGTTGAACAAGAAGAAGACATTGATTGGAATGTTGAAAAGTGCTGTTACTGCACAGTAGCCTGACAATGGTGGTATCTAAGATTTAAAAAATCTTACTTTTAAACCATATTTTACAAAAATTTGTTCAAAAGCATAAAATTGGTAAAAACTTTCTTTACAAAACAAAAAATAACAAAAACTTCCTTTACAAAACAAAAAATGGCAAAAACTTTCTTTACAGTAATTTTCAAAAGTTCAATATCTTTTATGAGATTATATAGGATTACACACGTGATGAAGCGTATTTTACCCACCTTTTCGGATAAATTACCATAGTAGCCAAGATATGGCCTAACACATTCCAAAGTAATCAGTACTATATACAGTGCAGCACATACTATTTGTAATATTGGATGTAGACGATCGTACTGAAATGTAAAACCCCTTTTTTATAGTAAAAAATATTCCATAGCATCTGTTTAAACTTTTACACAAAATATTTTTGAGTATCTACTGCAGTAAAAAAAAGATTACAGTAAAAAGAAGGCAATTCGCCTATGATAATATCCTTTTATGATGCATAAACACTTACTTTCATGTAAAAACAAGCGACTTGAGAAAAAATGATAAACGGACTCAAATGAAGATGAAAATGGTTCAACATTTGAAATGGCAAACTGCTGTCTATACCTAAAAACATTATATTATAGTAGACCAAACACAAGTTGAAGTTTATAAGCTATAAAAGCTTGTTTTTGCAAAAAAAACAAAATAAATTAAAAGTACTTACGTTGATATGCTTTTTCCATATTTCTTTTATAATATTTTAGCTACAACAAACGATTAAAACCTGCCGAAATGGACAAAATTCGTTATAACAAACCTGGGTTACTATAGCAACAAAAAATGATCAAAAACAAAAAAAATTTTTTCATTGAAGCTAAATTAAATCATATTAAGTTCAAAAACGCTTTAAAATATTTGATTTGACATTTAACTCACAAGTTACACTACATTTTACAACAACATTAAATACTCAGTTTGGTCCCACCACGAAAACAAATACTTTGGCATTTCGTTACAAGTTAAATAATTTTTGAGAAAATAATTTTGTCGGACCTAGAAGTATAAAGTGCCTTATATACCGGTATTTTTAGCCGATTTTTGTCTTTCTATGTTGTAAAAATGGCTTCATCGTCTATTTTCAATAAAAGTCTTAACAAAAGTAATGGACATATTGGGCCAAGTGTTAGGGAAACTAGTTTTGTGGCTTGTTTTAGCCATTCGAATATTCTGGACGGTGAAAATGTGAAGCTAGAAGAACACACTAACAGAGAGGACAGCAAAGTTTTTACTATGGTTGATCCGGTATGCTCGTTTTAATTGATTTTTTGAATTTAGGGATATTTGACGAATGGATAATATCAAATTAGTGATTTTAAACATTGTTTTGATGCCTTTGCTTTGAGATTTTAAGTTTATAAAAGCTTTATGATTAATTCATCTATTCAAAAAGTAATTTGAGGCAATGAGAGCATGTTTTCTTGAGAATCAGTTTATATTATGTTAGACATCTATGTTAGCATAACGTTTAATATTAAATTTCAGACCAAGAACCCAGTGAAGATAGTTGGTACCGAAGAAGCGGAAGATGCCAATTATGATTATCTTATAGCTTTCTTTAATCGACAAACGAAAGAAGTCAAACTTCAGCCAACAACAGTTTTACATTTCCAACCGAAGCAAGACGTTTCAGAAGACTTTTTGTCGGGTAGAAAGTAAGTTATTTTGGTTATTTTTGGTTTTTAGAGGAAGAGAAAAGACTGGCGGATAATAATATTAACAAAAGGTTCAAAAATATATCAAAATTTTGCATTTTTAAGGAGAAGATCAAGGACGGACTTTAACAAGGACATGAACAAGGTGAATGCGGAAAATTGGAGAGAGAAAGCCAATGATCTTGTTATGGAGTTTGGTAATACGAAAAGAAGAAAGATATTGGAAGCTTCTTTGCGTCGAAAAGTCAATGACGATACATTGGAGTCTTTGGGGACGTCTATGTTGGATTCTTCCAAGCTGGACTACTCGTTGCTGAAGGAAAGTGAGGATGGAAAGCCTACACTTAATTTATCAATGTTAAACACTGTATGCTTTTGTTTATTAGTTTGGTTTTTAGGTAATACTTTAGCTGCGAACAAGGATATCTTAAATATATTTTGTTTTATTGAGATATATTGTGTTATAGTAGGTATTAACTTTCTTTTTTCAAAATAATAGGTGCAATTAAGAGTTTATTGGAATTGAAAGTAATTCTAATAGGTTTGTAATGTAGCTGGAGGGATAGTGGGATTATATTCTTTAAATTTCAGCCAGAATCCATGGTACTGCCGAGGATGAATAAAGATGCAACTGGTGCTAAAGAAGTATATTCATTAGAACAATTTGTTAAGCCCGATGACACATTAACTTTAGGCCCTGCAGCCGCTGAATTCTTTGCCGAATTTGAGTCTGTGGATCGACTGGTCGAAAAAGGTGACATTTTGATATTATTTTAGCTTTTATAGGTAGTTTATGTTATTATAGGTATAGGTAAGTTAGGAAGCTTTATGAATAGTGTTTTGGTTAATAAGATTGTTGGAAAATGCTTTTTATCGGTTAAAACTGACCTATTGTTTAGTTTAGTTTTGTAATGCATATAAAACAACATATTATTTTAGGTATATCTCGCTATGTTGCTCAATGTGTGGTAACGAACCTGAGGTCAGACAAAACTATCTTCATAACAGCCATGAAGGTAATTACATGGAGTAGATTATACAAAGTGAGTTTTTTTGCCATGCGGTCAAAAATTATCCAGAATTTTTTTCCATTGTTAACATTAATCCATTAATAAAACCTCTACTACAATATAATTTCAGCACATAACAGAAAAAGGTCGCGGAGGTCGAGTGAACGTCCAAGGAATCGAACTTCCCTCACCATTCATCGTCGATTTCGTATCCGACTTTACAGAAGGCCAAATCGGCCGACAGCCCGGCGTCTACAAGATCAGTACCACTCTAAAACATAAACTGGCAGCCCACACAATGTGCCTCCTCCTACTCTTCAGCGAGGAATACACACTACCATTGGGACCACTAAAGACGGAGGTCGGGGTCTCGGAAGTTGAATTCAAGAAAATGGCGGAAGCCTTGGGCTGTATTGTGATGCCAGCCCCCGTCGAAGAGATGACCAAGTGGAAAACGACCAAAATCGCCAAACTAGTGGGACCAAAAACGATGGCACAAGGGCAGATGATGAAGCGAAGGGGACGACGATAGATTATTGTTGATTTTTGATATGTTGTTGTGGTTGTGTATCAAGTTTTTGGGTATTTTTGGCGATTTCCTATAGCGCGTCAAAAAGAATTGAACGATTTCTTAACAGATTATATAGGAAAATGGACAATTATTTTTGACGCGGTCTATTTTTCGTCTTATACAGGGCTTTTTGTTTTAAAAAACATTAATTTGAACTGTATTTTAGCAAAAAATTAACAAATTATGGAAAGAACTTGACACAACCCACTTTTTTCATAAAATGCCCAGAGTATGTTATCTTGTTGTCACTCTGAACATTTTCATTGTTATACACTGTTATCTTTTTATATTATTATGAATAAAAAAATCTTTGCAAGCTGTGGGGAGAATTTATACGGACAAGGTAATATTTTGTATGGATTGTTATGTAAAGAAATTTGTTGCAATTTTTTGTTTTGTAAAGAAAGTTCTTGCCATTTTTTGATTTGTAAAAAAAGACCTTGCCATTTTATGTTTTTAAATCAAATTTAAAATCTTACTATAGTTTTAAATATCATCAATTTATTTTACATTTACTCCGACCGAACAATTTTTCAAACAGGTAACAATAAAAAGTTGACCGGTAGAAGAAGACTAAAAATATCATGATATAACGACCTAGTATGTGTTGTTGTGCTCTGTGGAGCCGATTCATTGAAGGTTTACCGTCTTAAATGTAAATTTCAATGAAGAATCTTTCTATATAGGTTTATGTTTGAAGGTATAGCTTTCAAAAGCCCGTATCTTTGAAGATATTGCCCTGTAAAGCTATACCTTGAAAGATATTACTCTGTAAAGCAAAACCTTTGAAGACATTGCTCTGTAAAGCATTTTCTTTAAAGATAATGCCCTCTAAAGCCATACATTTGAAGCTATTACCTCAAAAACACACAGTATAACAAGTATACCTTTTGAAAAACCATTTCCTCAATGATATACCCCTCCAAAGCCTACAACAACATGAAAATAAAAACAAACAAAAACGAAATTGCAAAAATCATTTAACTATACATCAACGTCCTAGATGCGGCTTTAAAAGGCACTTTTTAACCCCTGAAGACATCAGAATAGCGAGATTAGAACAGTCCCTGGATTTGAGCTTTTGGCGTTGGCCCGTCCGCCGATTGGGTCAGGCGATCGAACGGATTGGGTTGACCTGCTTTTATGTAGCATTCCTTGATTTTGTTGAGCTGGAAGGCACGTAGTTCCACATTATGGTACTTGACCCATTCGAACAATTGGTTTAGGGAGGAGACGTCCGATTTTTCGACTGAAAGAGAAAATTTTAGAAAAATGACAAGAACTTTCTTTACAAAACGTAAAATTGCAGAAACTTTATTTACAAAACAAAAAATCAAGAACTTTCTTTCCAGAACAAAAAATGGTGAGAATTTTCTTTACAAAACAAAAAATGCAAGAACTTTCTTTACAAAGCATAAAAAGTTTCTTTACAAACAAAAAATGACCTTACCAGCCGAATTCATCCAGACGTTGACAAAAGCTTTGGTCAGAGTATCCAACTGCTTCGGATCCACTTCATGCTTCTTGACATTCCTCTTGACCAAGCTGAACTTTCTCCTAGGCTTTCTTGCTCGCGCTTCCTTGATTAAAAACTCGAATTCTCCCAGATCTTCTGGTGCTTCTTCTTCCTCGACAGCTTCGGCCGAGCCTTCTTCCGTTTTCTTTGCCTTTTTCGGCTTTGATCTCAACTCTTCGTAGTAACATTTAGCAAAAAGTAAGCCGAACCGTTCCAGAGTCACTGTATCCGCATCTTCTCGTAGCCTTTTGATTGGTCCCACAAAGTTTCGAGGTTTTACAACAAAATATTTCACAAGTTTTGCTGCGTCGTCCAGCTTGTTGACCTTCAGAGCGGCCGTTACAAGTTCGGCCAGTGCGTAAGCAGGGGTTTTTAGGCTTTGAACGTGAGATATTACCATTCCTGAAAGGATTTGATATTAAAAAATGGCATAACATCAGCTTTTTATTAAAAAACGGTATGAAAATAACAAAAAATAAAATTTTAGGTAACAAAACGACAAAACTTTGTTTCAATCTTTCCAAAAGAACTTACTGATTCTCTGCTCCTTAACACAAGAAAAATCTTGTCCATCAGCCAAAATATAGTCCAACAGATGATGACATCCCGCCACACTTCTTTCAGCTGTTGATTTCGAAGCAAACGACCCGAACGATACTCCAAAATTGGTCCTAAAACGATAAAAATCTTATTCTTTATAATCCTAAGACGATAAAAACCATGTTTTACATCAAAAATAGCATTTATTTATACTTTCAACGCAATTAAAGAAAAGTCCATTTTAAATCTCGTTGTTACCTAAATCTCAAAAAAATAAAAAGTCTTACTTCTCCAAATTCCTTTTCACACATTCTTCTAAGAATATATAAGGTGTCTGCACAATATCAGCCCGAATTAAAGCGCCACTAAGCTCCAACACCTTTGGATCCGACGTTTCTAAGTTTTCAAACACTTTATGGAAGAGACTTCGAATAGATTGAACTAGTTCCAAGCTTGGTTTTGGCTCTAAAGTTATATTATTAATATTTAAAAGTTAAATCTTATCGAGCTTAATACTAAAAGACTAAAAACTAAAGTTTAATATCAAACTACAACAATAAAAACATAAAACTTACTAGACCAAATGTTAAACCGTTGTTTGCACCCGTCCAAGAACACTATCGTCTTCTCTATGCCTTCTTTTTCAAATATGTTCGATGCTAGATTCACAGCTATCTTCGAGTTAATCGTGCACATCTGATTCGACGAAGTTCTGAAAATTAGATATGTAAGACAATGTATTGAAGGTTTTAAGTCAAAAAGCAGCATAAAATACATCAAAAAGCTTCATTTATAATTAAGCAGATTCAGCAGTACCTAAAAACCAAAGACATAACCAAAAAATAACTTACTGATCAGTCAAATTGAATAAAAACTTGTCCTCATCCATATCTCGAAGTACCTGATCACATAATCGTTCGATAGCTTCGACCTCCGACTCCTCTGCCTTTCGTATTTTCTGCCAATTCGTTGGCAAGACTCCACTACTGCTAAAGAAATCAACCCGTCTCGGCCTAAAGTTCTCGAACCTCTGAATTGGGAATGATATTGTGGACGAGTCGGCTGGTACATACTGCGGCACTACATTTATTCCTACTCGTCGGACCACATTTAATCTGAAGAAAATGTTTTCGTAGGTACTTAACTGTGATTATAAACCTAATAATGCAAAAAATCTTAAGTTAAAGATTGAAATATGGTTTTAATTCCAAAAAATTTATCAACTTTCTGTTTGATACCTAAATCAACTAAAATCAGTTATAATTCAGTAGTCCCCAAACGAAATTCATTGAAACTGCTTTCAATAAAAGATTAGACTATTCTTCAAATAGTAATAAAAACAATTCACTATGTCAGACCAAAAAGCCGATCAAAACCTTCAATTCATATTATCCTACCTTATATTTCCCCCTAACAAAATCAGCCTGTAAAACAACTAATTCTTGAAACAGAATTTCAAAACTAAACCCATACAAACTTTATACTCTTTTTCAGCTAATAATAACAAAACGTCTCCATTTCCCAACTGAAAACCCAACAAAAGACCTAAATTATATTAACCTATCCTTCACAATACCTTAATGCCCAAAAACTGCCATTTCACAACCAACTTTGGTTCCAAAAACCTAAAATCCAACAAAAAAGCAAGAACATACCTCAGAGATGTTATGAGAGGCCCAAAGCGATACATTTATATGTGAGTTCACCTCCTGAATCGTGAAAACCGTTAAGTACCCAGTTTGCCGCTGAAAGTACGTAAAATTATTTGTGGAAACAGAGGTATTTTGCAAGAGTTCGAACGTGATTAGCATTAGGAAAGCCAGCTTTTCGGGTTCGAAGAGAAAAATTCAAGAAAACGGCCGAGTTTTCGCAAGTTAACGAAGTGCTACAATTGATTGAACAAGGCGGGCTTTTGTGTCACTTCGCTTTTTTTCAGGAAGAACAGCGAGTTGAAAAGGTAGGGAAGAGTAATAATAGCTGTAATATGCAAAGTAAGTAATTTTTAAATTATTACTTAAAACTATCAATTTTAGAAGATTAACCTGTGTTTTAACATTATTTTAGGTACGAAGTCAAATTTTTGTCTAGGTTTACCAGTTTTTATCAACTTGTAACATACCATTCTTTGATCCTACTGACACAAAGTTCATTACCAAGCTCATTAAAAGTACAATTGACCTAATTTTAGGCCTGTACGCTACAGAATTTGCTCGTTTTACTGTCGAACCATGGGCGGAGTTTCAGCTGGCTGATGGTCATTTTAAAACATAAAAAGCAGTCATCTTACTTCCAGTTATACTTTTTCAAATCGCCCGAGTTTTTTGAATCAGTTGAAGATTCGACAAGCTCACAGAATGGCGATGATCAATGTTGTTGTAGCTTTAATGCTGGTTTCTTGTAAGTTTTTGATGTTTATTTGGTCTGCAACAATATTTTTATGCTTTTTGTGTTTTTTTCGTGTTGTTTTATGTTTGGTTTATCTGTGTGAGCATTAGAATAATATTTTTTAAGGCCAGATTTTAGCTTTTTTATTAAAAACGGCAAGAACTTCCTTTACAAAGCAAAAAATGGCAAGAACATCCTTTGCAAAACCTACAATGCTTATCTTATCCCACTTGATACCTAAACCAACATTTTTACAGACATCTCCGCCGACTCCTTCTTCTTCAACACCGGTGTTCGTCTCAATGCAGGCCAAACAAACTCGCCAGACCAATTGGAAAAAGCTCTCAACGAAGCTGGCTTCGATCTAAAAATGAATCCATTGGAGAAGTTGGCTTTTTCCGGGGAAAGAGACGAGATCTGTGCCATTTACCAACAACACAAGCTAATGGCCAAGAATATTGCCTTGAGGGGAATGTTGAGAATTGCTTGTGAATTGAAATATGAAGGTAAGAGGATATATTTTAGGTAACATTTTGACGTACTTTTTGATTTTTAAAGAAAGTTATGGAAATCATACGTTTTTTGAAAAATTTTAATGTTTTGAGGCCTGCGGGTACAAGTTATACGATGAAAAATTAAGCTTTTAAAAATAAAAGTTTTAAAAATAAAAAATTTTAAATGGTGTACTTAAAAATCGGCAAAATCACATTTTTGCAAAGCATATCACACGACAAACCAGTTTCGAACTCGAGATGACCAGTAAGAATCTGATGGTCGTAATGTTTTTAATGTTTTGCTTGAAGAGCGGTCATTTCGGATGAGTAGTAATCTGTCAAATGTCTTATCTTTTTTAGTTTTAGCTAGTTTTTAAACGTTGATATGATTTATGACATATTTTTTTGCTAATTGTCTTTGTAAGAATGTTCTGCAGGCTGCGGGAGACATTTTATACGATAAAAAAGTTGAAGTTTGAACTTTTTTAAAAATTTGTTGGAGTTTTTGGTTTTGTAAAAAAAGTTTTTGTTATTTTTTGTTTTGTAGAAAGTTTTTGCAATTTTTCGTTTTGTAAAGAAAGTTCTGACATTTTCTAATTTGTAAAGAAAGTCCTTGCAATTTAAACACGTTTTAACTCTAACCAACATTTTCAGCTCTGACCCAAAACTCAGAATGCCTTCAAGGCATGGAAGAGTCTCTGGAGCCTCAATGTGAACGTGCTTGCCTTCGAAAACATTCGATTTCATCGGCCGAAGGCCAATGTGATGCCGTTTCATGTACTGCCAATTGTGTTGGTGCTCAAATCAAGGAGTGCGGAGCTGAGAATGGAGAAGATTCTTTAAATACCTTCTACTCTGAATTGATGGGAGCTCAATTGGCATGGAGTTGGGGCTTGGCTACGGCCGAAGAGGTTCAATCGACCGCTGAAACTGGGCCAGCTGCTTGTGGAAAGATGGTCAATTTGGCTTGTAAGTTGGGTTATTGATAAGGTATAGAGGATATGCTAGGGTAATGTATGGTAGAGTAAGGTAGGTTAGGGTGGGGTATGTTAGGGTAGGGTAATGTATGGTAAAGTAAGGTAGGGTAATGTAGGACAGGGTAGGGAAGATAGTGACTCTGACAACGTTGTAAAACAATTTATCAACGAGTAATGAGTAGCTCGAGTGACCTTGTGCCACTTCCGTTTCGTTTTTTTGTAGTATTTGATAGTAGTGTAATATCAGGAATGTAGTAAAACTTTAACTTGATTAGAATGCACTTATAATTTTAATGGCTCTGCTGCAGATTTTCGAAATTTAAAGTTTAGTATAATCGATTTTAATTGGATTAATAGACTATAACTACTGGGCAGGGTAGGGGGCATGAAATGGTAGGAGTTGCTGAAGGATAGGGGTAGTAATATATCAGTCCTACTCCTACCGTTATACATAACGGTAGGAGTAGGACTGAAGGTAAGAGAAGGGACAATTTAGAGGTAGGAGCAATAATATCAGCAGGGTAAGGTAAGGGTAATGGTAAAGGTTGGGGTAGGGTAACGTAGGGCATGAAAGGGTAGATGTTGAGGTAGGGGTTGGGTTAAGATTTAGGGTATAATAGGGTAGAGTAGAGTAGGGTAATGTAGGGTAGGGCCGGGTCGGGTAGGATAGGGTATAATAAGCTAGGGTAGGGTAGGATGGAATAGGGTAGGGCAGAGTAGGGTAGGGTACTGTAGGGTAGGATGAAGCATAATAGGTCTCTGCAGGGTCGGATAAAGATAGGGATATATCCAAAAAACCTTTAATCTATGACAATAAAATTTTAGTGACAGCTCTCGAGTCGCATGAGATCATGCCAAAACAATCGAAAAAAGCCCTTTCCAAGTGAAATGAATGATGATTACCTCAAATGAAACAAGCTTTCAATCTTTTTTTTCAAATTGTCATGATTTTTATACATAACTTATTGTACACATACTTGAATAAAATTATTTTTAAAATCATTTTAAAATTTTTAAAATAAGGAAGTAATGTGGATTACTCAGTTTGAAAGAAACCGATCTGCAAAACGTGAGTTTTTGGAAAGTTTTTTGGTCCCAACACGAAAACTTGATTTTAAAAATTTTTAAAAATTGTTTGATTCTACTGGCTAAAAATTTGAAAACTTCGAGAAATTTAAGTTTTATTTTTTGAAGTTTTAAAAATTTTATAAATTTGCATATTTCGACCATAATTTAATTTCAAAACTTAAAATAAAATTTTTTTAAATTTAAAATTTTTTTTTTTCATTTTAAAAAATTGGTCTTTTAGAATGGCGTCTTTCAAGGATGACAGTGAGGAAATTGATCTATTGCCGGATGAAAATGTCTATCCTTTCGGCCATGACGCGTTAGACAATCCAGCCATATACGACGAAGCGACTGAGGCTGGGGAGATTGAAAAGTCGAAAAGTGACGATGATGACAGTGACAATGAGGTAGGTTTTGGATTTTTATTGAGTATATTTGAAGGCGAGCGGGGGGTTAAGGCTTGGAGGAGGGTGGGGGAGGTTTGGGGTAGTGCGATGAAGGTGTGGAGTAGGGCGATGGAGCGTTAAAGAAGATTCAAGGAATCAAATATTGTTTTTGTTTACAGTAATCTTTTTGTTAAGGTAACATGAAGTTGTTTACGCTACGGTACTGTAGGAATTGTACGGTAGGTTGCGGTGCGGCAAAATACGGCAAGGCAGTTCAAGGTAACATAGGGTACGGTAGATAGGATTGAGTTGGGTAGGTTAGAGTACGGTTGATTATTGTACGGCAGGGTAGAGTAAAATAGTGTAGGGTAGATTACGGTAAGGTAAGGCGGGACAAAGTAGAGCAGGTACAGTAGGACGCGGTAGAGTAGAAGACGGTAAGATAGGGTTGGGTAGGGTAGGATAGGGTAGGGTCAGGAGGGTATGGTATGGCACGGTACGGTACGGAAGGGAATGCTTTAGCAAAGCAAGGCTAATTTTAAAACTTGTTTAGCTATCAGATATCAGTGAAGACTACATCGACCGAACATTAACTACTTCGAGAAGTCGTGGCTCCACTTTCTGGTACAGTCGCTTCAAAATAGCGTTGATGAATCCGCAAATGAAGAAGATTGTCATTACAAACACGGCCCTTTTTCTGATTATTGTATTCTTGTTGATCGTTCTGTTGTCTTTGTGTATTGTGGCTATCGTTTTTCATTATCAGGTAAGTTATGACATTTTTAGGATGTAAAGAAAGTTCTTGCCATTTTTTGTTTTGAAAAGAAAGTTTTTGTTATTTTTTCTTAAAATTTTCATTTTAGGCTGTGGCTAAAAAACAGTCCAACGTTCCATGTGTCTACGAATGGGGCGAATGGTCGCAATGTAGTGCTACTTGTAAAGCAAAGGACAAAAAACTTCCGACCAAATTTCGAAAAATCGACCTGACTTCAGTCATTAGAGCCAGAGGAAAGTTTCACGACATTGCTCCGTGCCCGAAATATATCAAGGACGAAATTGTAATGTTTTCAATTTTGAAGGTTAGACCTAGAGCTCAGGGACATCGGTTGGGGGGGGTGGGTCGGGGGTCACTCCCCCCCCAGAGCCGATCCGAAAAAAATTCTACAGGTACGTGAAAAAACACAAAAATAATTTTTGCAAAATTGGTTCCAGGTACCAGTGGACAAAAAAAAATTTTCGACCTCCCCCCCCCCCAGAGAGAAAATCCGTAGCGACGTCCCTGCTAGAGCTTAGGCTTAGACTTGAGCTAAGGCTTGTCTGTGGGCTAGGGCTTGGTCTTAGGCTTACAAGGGAAGGCCACAACCTCACAGACTGGTTTCTTAATGAAACATTTATCATTTGAAAGAGCGCAAAGTTATTTTAAAAACCGTTTTCAATTTTTGCTAAACGGTATTACAAACAAAGTTACAGGCGATTTAATTTGACTATATGTTTATTGCGCAATTTTTCCATTCGAATGCGAGCGAAAAGAAAGGAAGGAGAGATGTGTACTTCAGTGGTGTAGCGGCAGTGCGCTCCATCATGAAGGAAGTCAGCGCAGGTTCGGTGCCTCTCTGTGGCGAAACTTTTTAGCAGCAACTGATTAAAATTTTAAAATTAACGTTTTGTACCATTTTTGATACTTTAAAATTTTTTTTATTTTCATTGTTTTTTCACTTTTTTAGAAAGTTTTAAAAAATTAAGCAAAAACTTTGAACATCAAAAATGTTTGATTTTTGCTTTGAGAACATAAATTGTTAGCGAAAAATTGTTGTTACTAACTTTAACTTATAAAACTAAAAATAAAAAAAGGCTGACATTGAAATAGGTATCTAGCCAAACTTTGAAAAATGGTGTTACAAAAAAGATTATAAAATTTTAAAATTTTAATTAGTTGCTGTAAAAAGTCTTGCCACAGAGAGGCACCGAACCTGCGCTGACTTCCTTCATGATGGAGCGCACTGCCGCTACACCACTGAAGTACACGTCTCTCCTTCCTTTCTCTTCGCTCGCATTCGAATGGAAAAATTGCGCAATAAACATATAGTAAAATTAAATCGCCTGTAACTTTGTTTGTAATACCGTTTAGCAAAAATTGAAAATGGTTTTTAAGATAACTTTTTGCGCTCTTTCAAATGATAAATGTTTCATTAAGAAACCAGTCTGTGAGGTTGTGGCCTTCCCTTGTCAGAATTAGGCTTAGGGTAGGTTTAGGTTTAGGCTTAGGCTTAGGCTTAGGCTTAGGATTAGGATTAGGCTTAGGCTTAGGCTTAGGCTTAGGCTTAGGCTTAGGCTTAGGCTCAATCTCAGGGTGGGACTTAATAAACGATTATTTAGGCAAGTACAACACATTAGCGTGGGTCAAAGGATTAAACCTAGATTAGGGACAAATCTTAACCTTGATTTTAGTTTTATTTTTACACTTAGGTTGAGAAGTAAGTTTTGGCTGGGACTTATTAAGCGGTTAAGCTCTGACGAGAGTTATGGTTAGGGCTTAAACCAAGACTTAAGTTAAGGCTTATATTAAGGCTCAGGCTACGGCTAGAGCATAAAAATGATAAATAATTTTTCAAAGTTTTAGGAAACAGCACCATGCAATACTCATTTGTGTCCGGTCAAATTGTCCACATTTCCTTACTCTGAAACTTGTTATGACAAGCTTATAGATGGTACACATCATCAAGTGCAAGTACGAATGATTGGGCAAACGGATCAATTGGTATGATTTTTTAAATAAAAAAATTTTTTTTGCGCAGAAATTTAATATTTAAAAATTTTTTTATTTTAAATGAATTTATATTTCATTTTCAGATTGAAGTAGACGGAGAGGTGTACAAAAAATGCTCCAAGGATGTCATCTAACTACGCGTGGTTACGATCAAGAACAGCAGCATGATCAGTCGAATTATATTAATCTATATTAAAAATAAATGTTATTTTGTGATTAGTTGGTAGTTATCAATTTTAAAGAAAGTTCTTGCCATTTTTTGTTTTGTAAAGAAAGTTCTTGCTATTTTTGTTTTGTAAAGAAAGTTTTTGCCATTTTTTGTTTTGTAAAGAAAGTTTTTGCCATTTGACAGTCTGTACAGAAAGTTCTTGCCATTTCACAATCTGGAAAGAAAGTTATTGTCATTTTTTGTGCTGTAAAGAAAGTTCTTGCTATTTTTATTTTAATATGCAAATTTAACCTTCATTTTTCACTTTTAATTTTTTGAATTTTTAAAATTCCGATTACGTCATTCATTTTTGTTAATCCGCCATGGGGAAGTCGGTGTCGGTGAAGGAGAAGACGTCGGCGAAGGAGACGACCGTGACTCAAGAAGACGATCACGTCGTTCGTGAAGGCGATCCCTATCCGTTCGGTCAGGATGTGTTGAAGAATCCAGAATACTTCGACTACGATACGGACCCAGCGCCGAAGCGTGTTGACGATGGAAGCCTGACCGACAGTAGCATGAGTGATGTAGGTTTGGAATGAAAGTTCTTGTCATTTTTTGAATTGTAAAGAAAGTTTTTGCTATTTTAATTTTTATAAAGGATGTTCTTACTATTTTTTAGTTTGTAAAGAAAGTTTTTGCCGTTTTTTGTTTTGTAAAAAAAGTTTTTTACATTTTATGCTTTGAAAAGAAAGTTGTTGCAGTTTTTTGTTACGTAAAGAAAGTTTTTGCTATTTGTCCTTAAACAAGCTGTTTTTTTAGCTTTGCAGGCCGCGGGTGACAAGTTATACGATGAAAAAATATTTTTTAGAAAGAAAGTGCTTGCCCTTTTTTGCTTTGTAAAGAAAGTTCTTGCCATTTCTGTAAATCAATTGTATTACTTTTCTGCAGTCTGCGGGTGACAAGTTATATTAGGTTGTCCGGAAAGTTCTGCAATATTTGTGTAGGTAAACTTTGAAAAATCAGGAAAAATTTATTTCTTGACAGAAAGAAAAAATTCTTTTTTTGTTTGTTTGTTTGTTACCTAAATTATTCAAAAAGGTAAGTTACATAACTTAATTTCATTTTTTTGTATTGTTTTAGGTATTAGAAAAAAATGGAGAAATCTCGCCTGCGCGTGATTATATGGAATGAATTCAAACGCGGAAATACTGCGGCAGAAACCTTCAGAATCATAAACGAAAATGAGGGTAAAAATGTTGTGAGTTATTCTACGGTGACCAGATGGTTCGCAAAGTTTCGTGTGGACGATGAGAAGCTTGAAGACAAACCACGTGCAGGAAGACCCAGCAACCTTGACAAAGATGCCCTGAGGCGCAAGATTGAAGATGACCCACATATTACAATCCGGGAGTTAGAAGAGTTACTAAACTGTGGAAAAAGTACCATTGGTGATCATTTGAAGGCAATGGGTATGGTCAAAAAGTTGGACAAATGGGTGCCTCACAATTTGACTGATCTGCAAAAAGCCAAGAGACGATGTGCTTCCGAAAAGCTTCTGCAACGCTGCAAAAACGAAGAATTCTTGGATCGAATTGTAAATATTGACGAGAAGTGGATCTCGTTTAACAATACTAGAAGATCTACAAGTTGGTGTAAGCATGGAGAAGCTCCTAAGCACGTTCCGAAGCCAGAATTGCACGAAAAGAAGCTTATGGTGACTGTCTGGTGGTGTAGCTCTGGAGTGATCCAGTACGATTTCATGAAACCTGGCCAAAGTATTACGGCCGACACCTACTGTGCCCAGATTGACAAACTGCGACACAATCTTCCAACAATGGTCAGAAGGAGGGGTCCGATCATTCTGCAGGATAACGCACGGCCCCATGCTGCAAAGAAGACCGTGGCAAAATTCAGGGAACTGGGATACGAAGTCTTGGAGCACCCTCCTTATTCTCCAGACTTGGCTCCAACGGACTTTCACCTTTTTAAACACTTGTCTTCGTTTCTTAATGGAAGAATCTTCAAAACTAAATACGATCAAAACTGTTTTTGTCTTTTTATGTTTTTTAAAGAAAAGTTCTTGCCATTTTTGGATTTTTAGTAAAAGTTTTTGCTATTTTTTACTTTGTAAAGAAAGTTCCTGCTATTTGTGTTAAAAAAAGCTGGTTTTTGCCTTTGCAGCCTGCGGATGCCAACTTATACGATGAAAAGAATTTTTTGTTTTGTAAAGAAAGTTCTTGCAATTCTTTGTTTTGTAAAGAAAGTTTTCGTCATTTTAAGTCTTGTAAACAAAGTTTCTTCATTGTCAATTAAAACACTTACTATAATATTTTAGCTGTCAGACGTTTCGGACGACGCAGAAAAGACCAACATCCAGTCCAGAAGAAGTTTATCGTCGTTCTGGAGCAGTCATCTGAAGCCGATTATGAGTAATCCGGCGATGCGACGAATTGCCATTACGAACATGATAATGTTCGTGCTCATCGTACAGCTTTTGGCGACTCTAGTGGCTCTTATCATCATTGCGATCGCTTTTCATTATGAGGTAGGAAAGGCATTTTTTGTGCTGTAAAGAAAGTTTTTGCTATTTTTTGTTTTGTGAAGAAAGTTCTTGCCATTTGAAGACTTGGAAAGAAAGTTCTTGTTATTTTAACATTTGTAAAGAAAATTTTTGTCATTAAAAAGCTTGGAAAGAAAGTTCTTGCTATTTGAAAGCTTGGAAAGAAAGTTCTTGTCGTTTTTTGTTTTGTAAAGAATGTTCTTGCTGTTTTTTTTTTGTAAACAAAGTTTTTGCTATTTGAAAGCCTGGAAAGAAAGTTCTCGTCGTTTTTTTGTTTTGTAAAGAATTTTCTTGCTGTTTTTTTTTTGTAAACAAAGTTTTTGCTCTTTGAAAGCCTGGAAAGAAAGTTCTTGCCATTTTTTGTTTTGTAAACAAAGTTTGCCATCTTTTTTCTTAAAACTTCATTTCAACCCCTTTTGATATTTTCTGCAGCCTGCGAGTGACATGTTATACGATGAATATTTATCTTTTTTTCTATTTTAGGAAGTACGCAACAATGAAGTAGCCTTACCATGTGTTTACACGTGGAGCCAATGGACTGCGTGTAGTGCAACGTGCCGTTCTCCAGGTAAACCGTTTCCAACCAAAGAACGCCAAGTCAATAAAACCAATGTTGTCAGAGCCAGAGGTCAATTACATGACATATCACCATGCCCAAAAGATGTCGCCCGGTTAAAGGTAGGGTGGGTTGATGTGGCGGAAAGAGAGTTTTTGCTGTTTTTTTGTTTTGTAAAGAAAGTTCTTGCCATTTTTTGTTTTGTAAAGGAAGTCCTTGCCATTTTTTGTTTTGTAAAGAAAGTTCTTGCCATTTTTTGTTTTGTAAAGGAAGTCCTTGCCATTTTTTGTTTTGTAAAGAAAGTTCTTGCTATTTTTTGTTTTGTAAAGAAAGTTCTTGCAATTCTAAGTTTTGTAAAGAAAGTTCTTGCTATTTTTTGTTTTGTAAAGAAAGTTCTTGCAATTCTAAGTTTTGTAAAGAAAGTTCTTGCTATTTTTTGTTTTGTAAAGAAAATTCTTGCAATTTTTTGTTTTGTAAAGAAAATTCTTGCAATTTTTTGTTTTGTAAAGAAAGTTCTTGCCATTTTTTGTTTTGTAAAGAAAGTTCTTGCTATTTTTTGTTTTGTAAAGAAAGTTCTTGCAATTCTAAGTTTTGTAAAGAAAGTTCTTGCTATTTTTTGTTTTGTAAAGAAAGTTCTTGCAATTCTAAGTTTTGTAAAGAAAGTTCTTGCTATTTTTTGTTTTGTAAAGAAAATTCTTGCAATTTTTTGTTTTGTAAAGAAAATTCTTGCAATTTTTTGTTTTGTAAAGAAAGTTCTTGCAATTCTAAGTTTTGTAAAGAAAGTTCTTGCTATTTTTTGTTTTGTAAAGAAAATTCTTGCAATTTTTTGTTTTGTAAAGAAAATTCTTGCAATTTTTTGTTTTGTAAAGAAAGTTCTTGCAATTCTAAGTTTTGTAAAGAAAATTCTTGCAATTTTTTGTTTTGTAAAGAAAGTTCTTGCTATTTTTTGTTTTGTAAAGAAAGTCCTTGCCATTTTTTGTTTTGTAAAGATAATTCTTGCAATTTTTTGTTTTGTAAAGAAAGTTCTTGCAATTTTTTGCATTGTAAAGATAATTCTTGCAATTTTTTGTTTTGTAAAGAAAGTTCTTGCCGTTTTTTAGTTTGTAAAGAAAGTTCTTGCAATTTTTTGCATTGTAAAGAAAATTCTTGCAATTTTTTGTTTTGTAAAGAAAGTTCTTGCTATTTTTTGTTTTGTAAAGAAAGTCCTTGCCATTTTTTTGTTTTGTAAAGATAATTCTTGCAATTTTTTGTTTTGTAAAGAAAGTTCTTGCAATTTTTTGCATTGTAAAGATAATTCTTGCAATTTTTTGTTTTGTAAAGAAAGTTCTTGCAATTTTTTGCATTGTAAAGATAATTCTTGCAATTTTTTGTTTTGTAAAGAAAGTTCTTGCCGTTTTTTAGTTTGTAAAGAAAGTTCTTGCAATTTTTTGCATTGTAAAGAAAATTCTTGCAATTTTTTGTTTTGTAAAGAAAGTTCTTGCTATTTTTTGTTTTGTAAAGAAAGTCCTTGCCATTTTTTGTTTTGTAAAGATAATTCTTGCAATTTTTTGTTTTGTAAAGAAAGTTCTTGCAATTTTTTGCATTGTAAAGATAATTCTTGCAATTTTTTGTTTTGTAAAGAAAGTTCTTGCCGTTTTTTAGTTTGTAAAGAAAGTTCTTGCAATTTTTTGCATTGTAAAGAAAATTCTTGCAATTTTTTGTTTTGTAAAGAAAGTTCTTGCTATTTTTGTTTTGTAAAGAAAATTCTTGCAATTTTTTGTTTTGTAAAGAAAGTTCTTGCTATTTTTTGTTTTGTAAAGAAAGTCCTTGCCATTTTTTGTTTTGTAAAGAAAGTCCTTGCCATTTTTTGTTTTGTAAAGAAAGTTCTTGTCATTTTTGTTTTGTAAAGAAAGTTCTTGCCTTTTTTTAGTTTGTAAAGAAAGTTCTTGCAATTTTTTGCATTGTAAAGAATGTTCTTGCCACTTACAATCAAAAAAAAACATTTTAGAGCTTTGCAGCTTGACAGTGACATGTTATACGATAATTAATTTCTAATTTTAGGAGCAAGCACCATGCAACATTGCATACTGTCCAATACCGATCAGCACTTTCAATTTTAGCCAAAAATCGTACAATAGTAAGGCCTATGGAGGAGACATTAAAATTCGCTTGCTTCCGCAAGCTAACCAAATGGTAGGTTCTAGAACATTTCAAAATTATAATGCTTGTAAAGAAAGTTCTTGCCATTTTATGTTTTGTAAAGAAAGTTCTTGCCATTTTATGTTTTGTAAAGAAAGTTGTTGCTATTTTTTGTTCTGTAAAGAAAGTTCTTACCATTTTTTGCTGTGTAAAGAAAATTTTTGTAGTAATATGAATTTTTTCAGATCTTCATGGACGACATCCCGTATAAGAAAGCACAATAAATGGTCAAGTATGTCTGCTCTTGTTGTGTCTCTGTAATGTTCTTGTAGAATAAACATTTTGATTGGATATTGTTTTTTATGAAAAGATTAAAAATATTGAAGTTTTTAGTTCAAAAAATGTTTTAAAAAGCATAAAGCAATGTTTACACATTATTAATTATATAGTTTTATCAAAAAAACCCAAAACGTCTTTTTTTCTTCTGACCGGATTCGAACCAACATGCTTTGGCGCGCAACTCCAGCGCGTTACACATTCGACTACGGAGCTAAAATGAAATAAATAATGGTATTTTGCATCATTTCAGGTCAGAATTAAACGGAGATTCACAATCTGACACTCATTATTCAAAAATTTTAAAATTAAAAAAGTTATATTAAATATTTTCTTTTTTTTTAATTGTTTTGTTACAGTAACCTTCCAGATAAAAAAATTGAAAAACATGGCATAAAATCTTGATCCATGCCATTTTTAATATAAATATCAAGCTCAAAATCTTATTTTCATAAAAAACATGATTATACATGATGTTATATGTTATGTTATGCTTGCGGATCTCAAGAACAAGTGGTTTGCGCTCCGGAACACTTAAAACACAGCGCTCGGAATGACAGTTACATAGCGTTTTGTTGTTTTTTGGTGAATCCGCCTCCGGGGATATTGTTTTCTTGGGTTGTTTATGAGAATGTAAAGAAAGTTTTTGCCATTTTTTGCTTTGTAAAAAAAGTTTTTGCCATTTTTTGCATTGTAAAGAAAGTTCTTGCCATTTTTTGCTTTGTAAAGAAAGTTTTTTGCCATTTTGTTTTGTAAAAAAAGTTTTTGCCATTTTTTGTTTTGTAAAGAAAGTTCTTGCCATTTTATGTTTTGTAAATAAATTTTTTGCCGTTTGGATCAAAATAGCAATTTTAAGGATCTGCAGCCTGCGGGAGACAAGTTATACGATAAAACTTATTTTTTTCGATTAGTAAAATTGCCATTTCTTATTTTGTAAAGAAAGTTATTGCCATTTATTGTGAACAAAGTTTTCGCGAGATTCTTTTATAATATTTACGAAAAATAATATCTGCTACAATACGAAGAACCTCTACTATAACATATAGGTATCAAAGATGTCTCGAATGTGGGGAATTCATCTTGGCCATAACAACTCCAGTCCAGTTTTTGTCCAACAATTGCCCGGAAACATTGGAGAAATCGAGGAGAACACAGCCTTACATCTGGAATGTAAGGTAGAGCCATTTGGAGATGACACATTAAGCATTCAGTGGTTTCATAATGGTCTGCCGTTGAAGCAAGGTAAATTATTTATTTTTTCAAATTTAAAAAATTTAAAAAATTTTTTAAAAATAGATGGAGTAAAGCTATATAGAAATGGCCTTCGGGTCGAGCTGGCTTAATTTTTGGGTCCAGCCCGCGCAGGTTTGACGTTTTATGTGGCTCGACTTGGCTTGGCTCGTTTAAAGAACGGCCCCGCCCGGAAGCCTGGTTTAGACAAAGCGCTTTCCAAAGATATTTTATGTCCTGCAGGCTGCAAATGAAAAGTTATACGCTGAAATGTGGTTTTTGATTCGTAAAGAAAGTTTTTGCCAGTTTTCGATTTGTAAAGTAAATTCTTGCTATTTTACTTGTTTTAAAGAAAGTACCTGCCATTTTTTATATTGTAAAGAAAGTTCTTGGCATTTTTTCTTATGTAAAAAAAGTTCTTGCCACTTTTTGATTTGTAAAGAAAGTTCTTGTCATAAAAAACTGTCTTTCACGGCTTTTCAGACTGCGAGTGACAAGTTATACAATGAAAAGTTATTTGTTTTTATCATTTTTTGTGTTGTCATAGGCTCTTTTTTAAAAAGACTTTTTTGTTTTAAAAATGACGCTTTTTTCAGGTCATCGTTTTCGAACTTTCGCCGATTTCGGCTTGGTGTCATTGGACATTCTGAATGTTTATGCTGAAGACAGTGGGAACATCACCTGTGTGGCCGAAAATGCTCATGGCAGAGCCCAGACCTCAGCTGAATTCTACTGTTATCGTAAGTTTTTTTACCCTACCCTACCCCATCCTACCCTACCCTACCCTACCCTATCCTACCCTACCCTACCTTACCCTACCCTACCCTACCCTAAATTTTGAAATTTAAGCAAAATCCTCAATTCTGGACCAGACCAAGCTCCCCGCCAGTGTAGCCAGAATTCAGCAACTAGAAGCACCAAAAGGACCATTTATAGAAGAAGAACCTGAAATTGTCTATAAACCCGCCCACTTCATTACTCCTTTATCAGGGTCAATTAAGGCTGCTGAGGGTGAAAGTGTCAGTTTCACAGCTAAGGCTGGTCCTGTGGAGGATAATACTCTTACTGTAAGTTTTTTGGGCTTTGGCTTTGGGCTGGGAATCTGGTCTGGGGCTCTGGGCTATGACTCTGGATTAAGGCTAGGGCTATAGCTGGTAAAATACGAATTAAGGTTCTTGACCTTGTTTTACGAATTGAAAAAGACTTTTCATCATATAACATGTAACGCGCAGCCTGCGAAACCTTAAAAGAGATTGTTTTAATAAAAATGACAAAAACTTTTTTTACAAAACCTAAAATAGCAAGAATTTTCTTTCCTATACAAAAAATGACATGAACTTTCATTACAAACTAAAAAATTGCAAAAACTTTCTTTCCAATACAAAAAATGACAAGAACTTTCTTTACAAAACAAAAAATGACAAAAACTTTCTTTCCAGCACGAATGGTACTTCAACAACCACCCCCTAATGCATGCCAATCGTTTTGTCACCTCTCAAGAGTTTGGTGTTATCACTATGAACATCCTCTACCTCTTCCCAGAAGATTCTGGTACCTACACACTAATGGTACGAAATAATACTGGTCAAGCGCATAGTACTGTAGACATTACTGTAGCGTCGAACAGTAGCATGATTACTGAAACCTTTCATCCCAAGTCTGTGAATCGGATTCTGGAGATTGAAGCCCCAAAACCGGAGGTACCAGAGGTACCAGACGCGGAAAAAGTGGTACCAAAGATAACGAAAGTATTGGAAAGTGTACCAAAGTGCAAAGAAGGTACTGAAGTGTATGTAGAAGCAAGATATACTCCTACTGATGATAATCAGGTGATAGCTGAATGGTACTTTAATGGTACACCTATAAAGCACTCAAACAGACATGTTATGGTACACAATCCAGGCCACGTATCATTGGTCATAAGGTACACTTTTGTTGAGGATTCTGGAGAATACACATTGATGATCAAGAATTCAAAAGGTCAAGCACAAACCTCAACCAAGCTGGAGGTGGAAGGTGGAGTAGGTATCTTGGGTGAGACGATGCATCCAAAGAGTTTGGGAAGGATTCAAGAGATCGAAATGCCCAAGCCATTGCCTGAAGAAGCGAAAGAGAAACCAGTAGAACCGCCAAAGTTCACTAGAGGACTACAGATGGTACTGCTGAATGAGGTAGGTCAATATTGAAGAGTAATCGTACAGTATACAAGAGTAAGGTAAGGTAGGGAAAAGTATTATGAAGTAAGCTGGAATAGAATGCAGGCCAGAATAGATTAGTAAAGAATAGGGTAGAGCTATATAAAATAGTAGGGTTATTCTGAGACGAGCTAGAAAAAGGTAAGCTTTAGTAGGCTAGGCTAGCTGTATATAGGTGATATACGAAGAACGGTCCGGTCCTACCCAAGTTGTGCTCTGGCCTGGTCCGGTTAAAATTTTTTTTCCTTGCAGACAGGCCGAGCTTTTTGGGCCGCGCGTTGAGTTTTTGATTCGACCCGGTCCCGGTGTCTACCTGCCGCTCCGGACTAGGGCTCTGGGCTGTGGGGTCTGGGCTCTGGGCTCTGGGCTCTAGGCTTTGGGCTCTGGGCTAGGGCTCTGGGCTGGGGCTCTGGGCTAGGGCTCTGGGTTAGAGCTAGGGTTAGAGCTAGGGTTAGGGCTAGGGCTAATTTAATTATATTATAGCTTTACATTATTTTAGTTCTCAGCTCCAAACAAGCTACAAGAAGGAGACGCAGTCAAAATTGACTGTACTGTATCTCCAGTGACCGACAATCAACTTCGTATCGAATGGCTCTTCAATAACTACCCTTTACTGCACAGTAATCGTATGAAGATGACAAATGATCTTGGCTATGTTTCACTCGAATTTCCACACATCTGCGCCCGAGACTCGGGCGAATACACATGTAGAGCCGTTAGTCCACATGGTACCGCTGAAGCACGAATTCAACTTGATGTAGCCGCTACACCGTCAATGTTTTTGAATCCTCAACATGAAAAGTCGTGGCGTCAGATCGAAGCCATGGAGAATACAGTAGTCGAACGGCCGCCTACACCAGTGTTACAGTATCAAGCACCATCGTTTACAGTAGGATTGGCTAATATCAAGGTTACTGAAGGTGATACAGTAGTTTTACAATGTAAAATTCAACCGGTAAACGATCCATCGCTAAGAATATCCTGGAAGTTCAACGCCAAGAACTTATTTGAAGCCAGCAGGCACAGGCACAAGTACAACGTAAACGATGTGATCCTGGAGATTCAGAAGGCTGTAGCCGAGGATTCTGGAACATATGAATGTAATGCCATAAGCAGTAACGGAGAAACATCTACGCAATGTGATGTTATTGTCGAGGCTACTGATAGCTTGTTGTTACAGTAAGTTTTTAGTCAGTTTGTATTGGAAAGAAAGTGTTTGCCATTTTTTGTTTTGTAAAGAAAGTTCGTGCCTTTAGATTTAAAAAGTAACTATTTTGTGTCTGTGCAGGCTGCGAGTGACAAATTATACGACAAATCTGACGTTTTTATCTTTTCACCGTTTTGTAAAGAATTTTCTTGCCGTTTTTTTGTCTTGTAAACAAAGTTCTTACATTTTAAAAATTTTTTATATAATTTTTACAAAAGCGGCAAAGACTTTCTTTACAAACTTTAAAATTGTATCAGAGGCTTTACAAAACAAAAACTGTTTTTTTATCGTATAACTTATCTTCCGCAGCTTGCACTGGCTTAAAATAGCTTTTTTCTGTATAAAATGGCAAAAACTTTCTTTACAAAACAGAAAATGGCAAGAACTTTCTTTACAAATTAAAAAAATGAAAAATATTTGGAACTATGATATGTATGTTACAGTACTCAAAACGAACGCACCTGGTCAAAGATCCAAGAACTAGAAGCACCACAAGACCTACCCGAAGCACCAGAAGTACCATTTTCAGCACCAAAGTTTACAAAATCTCTAGAATCTGTCAAAACTTTAGAAAACGAATCAATCTTGCTACAGACTAGAATACAACCCCATGACGACCCAAGTCTTACTGTAACATGGCTCAAAGATGGTGCACCAGTCTCCGGCTCTAATCGAGTGCACTTAGTGTACCAGTTTGGCTCTGTTGGACTACAAATCGCATACTGTAGACCAACGGATGCTGGAGAGTATACTGTAGTGGTGGCGAACAAACAGGGTACTGTAACTCAGAATTGTAAAGTTGAAGTTGAAGCTATTGACAATGTGGTCGATACTGTACAGCACGAGCAGAGTTGGACCAAGATACAACAGTTAGAAGCACCAAAAGAACTAGTTGAAGAGGTTGAAGATGATAAGAAGTTTGGTACACCTAGCTTTGTAGTACCGTTACAAAGTGTTAAGGATGTGGCTGAGGGTACTGTAGTCAAATTAGAAGCCAAAGTAAAGCCGGCCAATGATGCGAACTTGATGGTAGTTTGGTACCAAAATGGAAGGTTATTAGGTGCTAGTAATAGATATATTGTCAAGAATGAGTTGGGAAAGGTGTCGTTGGAAATATTGTATGTTATGGAACAGGTAGGCTAGAATTTTTGTTTTTATTTTTAATAGGATTGGGTATGGTAAAGTAGATTAGAGTAAACTAGAGTAGTGTGGGGCAAGGTGAGGCAAAGTGAACTAGGATGGGGAAAGATAGGGCAAAGTAAAGTAGGGTAAGACAGGTAGGGTAGAAAAAGATAGTGTAGCATAGAATATGGTAGAGTAAAACAAGACACAGTACGGTAGGATAGAATAGAGTAGGATAGAGTGAACTAGAGTAAAGTGGGGCAAGAAGATAAGGCAAAGTAGGGTAGAGTAGGATAGGATAGGATACGGTAGGGTAGGGTAGGGTAGGGTAGGGTATATCTTTGTGCTTTTAGGATGCTGGAGACTACCGTTGTGTAGCCACGAACAGTGCTGGTCAAGCGTCGACTGAAGCTAAGTTAGAGTGTTCTCTGAGGCCTTCTGTCTTATCGGACACTCAACATCAGAAGGCATTGGATCGAATTCAAGAATTGGAGGCTCCGAAGCCAGAAAAGCCAGAAATAGAACCAGTCTTTTTGGTTCAGCCAAGGCGAATGAACTGCTTTATGAAGAAGGATTACTAGGTTGACATATAGAGTACTTACCGTAGTATATTGTCTTAGTATCTTGAAATTTACTTACATAATCATTTATATATTATACTGCCATAAAATGTCTGTCATACTGTAGTTTTTTAGGGTTCTTAGTCTTACTGTGACTTATAATAAGACGTCTTTCTGTAGGTTTTAAGCTTATCTTAGAACGTCTTACTGTAGGTTTTAAACTGTTAAGAAAAATTCATACTGTAGTTTTTAAATCTATAATAAAGTGTTTTACTGTACTTTTTAAACACTAAGCATTATGGTTTACTGTACTTTTTGATATACTTTCATTTTTGTTATACGGTAGCTTTCATGAACCCCAAAGCCGTTTGTCATACTGTAGTTTGTTTCTCCAAACTTTTACTTTTGTCATACTGCAACAAAAGAATAAATTTCTAAATACTATACCAAACTGTATAATAAGTTTATACTACAAAAATATACAAGATATATACCATGGTAAAATAAGATTATTGTACGACAATATCAGCAGCCGCCTTCTTCAACCGGTTGAAAAACTCTTCAATTTGACCAGGCTTAAACTTTTCAGCCAAAGAACTCAAAAATCCTGGGACTGGAAGGTTCAGGTCTAGTACTGTGATGGCCTAAATTTTAAGATTTCAAAAAAATTTAAATTAATTTTAAAAATTAAAATTTTTTTTGTAAAGAAGGTTTCTTCATAGTACTAAAAACTATTTTTTAAAAATTTTCTTGTAAAATCATTTAGAATTTAACGGTCGTATTTTACATTTTCAATGCCTTTTTATACATCAATTAAAGGTCTTGCAACCTGCGCAGCAAAGTTATACGATGAAAGTTGTCCGAAGCAAAACGATAGATTTTAATGACCGTAACAGTTATCAGTAGAAAGTAAAGAATAAAGTAAAATACAGTAGTTGACGATTTTTATTGTATTTAAACTTTTCAAAAATTAAAAATTTTCTTAAAACTTTTTTAATTTTTTTTTATTTAAAAAAAATTTATTTTTTGTAAAGAAAGTTCTTTCATAATATAAAAAAAAATAATTTTTTACTGTCTTCATTATTGAAGCAATCGTATTTTACCTTCCCAATAGTGTTTTTATACGCTTTTCAGCTCCTGCAGCCTGCGCGGCCAAGTTATACGATTAAAGATGCCCAAACCAAAACTAAGGATTCTAATTTTGCAAAACTGTTTTTAATTGTAAGACTAAAGTAAAATACGAACGTCTAAAATTCGGCTCGTTTTTTAAATTTGAAAAAAAATTTAAAATTTTTAAATTTTTAAAAATTAAAAAAAAGTAAATTTTGTTCAAAAACTATAAAAATATGATCAAAAAACATAAACAACAACTCACTTTCATATCGGTGGTCTGGGGATTATCCTTGTTGGGTTCAATTGTAAATCCGCCCAGTCTTTGCACTGTTCTCGTGTAACCATCGATCTCTGGCCAATCTGGGTTGGTGGTCGATTGAAGAGCAATTTTTGTGGTTTTATTGGCAAATGTTTGGTACTGAAGTTGTATTTTAGAAAGTCTTTTCATTATAATATCACAAAGTTTTTAGTTTTTTGGTTTTACGTTATATTAAAAATGGCAAAAAAGTCTTGTCGTCGATTTACACGGTTTTGCGTGTAAAAAACGACAAAACTTTTTTTGACATAAAAAAATGAAAATTTAGTTTATAAAAACTTTAGCTACTAAAATTTTAAATTTCAAAGTATCTGTTTAGTTACTTACTCTGTAAACATCGACAGAATCTCGTGGGTCCAATATAAGCTTTTTCTTCACTACGGAATGTACCAACAAGGTCTAAAATAAATAAAATTTTCAATATTGTAGAGCAGGAAGATAGAATAGGTACACTAGGATATGATAGTGTAGAGGAGGGCAGTGAAGAACAAGGTAAGTTAAGGCAGGGCAGAATATTGTAAAGCATAATAAGGTAGGGAAGGCTAATGGGCTTTAAGCTTTGGGTTAAGGCTTTAGGCTAGGGCTCTGGGCTAAGGCTATAAGGCTAAAGCTTTGGGCTAAGCTTTGAGCGGCTTTGCGCTAGGGCTAGGTTTCTTGGCTAGGACTCTAGGCTAGAGCCAGGGCTCTGAGCTCTGGGCTAGAGCTCTCTCCTAGGGCTTCACTTACATCATTGTCTATCCTTTTTAACACTTTCATATCTTCATATAACTCTCCATCCCATTGTAACCGGTATGGGAACCAAGGTACCATTAGTTTGTACACTTTCTCGACTGGGGCCTTAAATTTTAATTATAAATTAAAGCTTGTAAAGAAAGTTTCGTCAAACTATAAAAAATACATTACAGTAATATGCAGACTTCTTACTGTAACATAGATACTGTAATACTTTAGAAAATTACACTAATTTCTAAAAAAGTTACAGTAACCCTTACATCAATAGTAGCCATTCCGATGATAGCCTTTTCAGTAGTTTCAGGGAATGGACTTGGCCCTAATCTTACTGTAATGCCATCAGTCTCACGTTCAACTTCAGGAAAGACATCATCCATATTGCCATAGGCTAAACGATCAAACTCTTCTGTTGTGTTATCGGCTAACTCAATATACTGCTCCTTGGTTGGAAAACCATCAACCTTCTTGATTTCTGTGTCTACTGTTGGCAAGATTCCTTCTGATTGGTGGTCTGGTTTTGCTAAAACTTAATATATGTAAGCAGGGCCGGGCGGGGTCTTTTGGTCTGGGGGCAGGGGTCCAAAAAATCGGCACAGGGGACCTGTGCCGATTTTTTGCAAATTTTTTTTTCCGAAAATCCACAGGGCGGACCACGTTCAAATTTTTTCAAAAATTTTTTTCTGGGGGGGGCGGTACCCGCCCCCCCCCCTCCCCCCCCCCCTTGCGCCCGGCCCTGTATGTAAGGGAAGAAGAGGGTAGAGTAAGGTCGGGTAAAGAAAAGTACTAAAACGTAAGTTACTGTAAGGAAAGTTACAGTATTTTAAAGCAAAAAACGGTACTGTAAAGTAAAGGAAGATAAAGTAGGAAGGTGAAGGGTAGAGTAGGACAGAAAGGTAGAGTAAATTAGAAGGTTAATGACAAGTACGGTAGAGTATTGCGGGATACTGTAGAGTCGGGCAGGACAGATTAGAATAGGATAGAGCAGACTAAAGTAAGTAAGGTTTAGTAATTTAGGGTAGGGTAGGATAGGGTAGGGTAGGGTAGGGTAGAAAAGGGTGCTAACTTTTTTCTTTACCGTCTTCATTACTTTCTTTCTCGTCTTTATTTTCTTCTTTATTGGGTTCTTTAGATGAATCTGACGTTATTGTTGTATTTTCTTCTTCTTTCTTTTCTTCATTATCTTCTTTATTATCTTCTTTTTCTTTATCATTATCATCATTATTATTATTTCTTTTAACTTTAGTTGATTCTGTGGTTGTAGTAGCTTCTTTTGAAGTTGTATCAGCATTCTCAGTCGTCTTACCCAGCTTAAGGCTAGCTTTTCTTGGTCTTGGGGTTAACAAGGTTGATAGTGTTGTTTCTTCTGAACTTTTTTCATTTGTAGTTTGACTAATTAGCTCAGAAGTTAACGTAGATCTATCTACAGAGCCTGTAGCGCCAAGATTCTTTCTATCTTTTGATGACATTCGATCATCTTCTCCTTCACTTACTCTTGAGTCATCACCATTACCATTACCCATGTTAGAGTAGGATAGACCTGACCCATTAAGCTCAATTTCAGCACTGTCACAAGGTTCACAGTCTTCAGGTTGACTAATTGATGTACATGGTACACATTTCTCCATATCTCTCAAGTTACCTTCGACCAGTCGTTCAGCTTGATCATGTAGTGATAGTGGATTAGGCTTGTCATTGGACTTGCTATTATAACTTGAGAATGACATTTTTTTTTGATCTCCTTGGTTAGGCATTTCATTTGTAGTTAATTTGGCTTTAGAATCTTCAGTTTTATCAGCTTGACCTTCATCTTCATCAATGTTAACATGACCTTCTATGCTATGGCTACTACCACTATTAACTTCACCATCACTACTATTACTACCATCATTGCTGCCAATTTTAAAGCCCTTTGAAGCCACAGAACCCTTCACCAGACTAACATTCTCTTCACTACTACTCAATGGACTAGGATATTTCTTATAGTGTTTGTCATTGTCAGTTGATGCTTTCTCTACAAGTTCTTGAATCTTTTTCGGTAAAGAAGCTTCTGAATCTTCTGTTTTTAGAGTTGATGCTAGAAAAAAAATTTTAAAATATTTTAGTTATGGTACGCTAAAAAATTTAAAAAATCAACAATTTTTTTAGTGTTTGGGCCATTTTTTGGTTTGTAAATAAAGTTATTGCCATTTTCTGTTTTGTAAAGAAAGTCCTCACCATTTCTTGTCGTTTGTAAAGAAAGTTTTTGCTATTTTTTGTTTAGTAAAGAAAGTTCTTGCCATTTTTTGATTTGTAAAGAAGGTTCCTGCCATTTTTTGCTTTTTAAAGAAACTTCTTATATTATACGATGACAATTATTTATTGTTTTTGCTGCAGGCTGCCGGAGACAAGTTATACGGTAAAATGTATTTTTGAAAAAATTATTTTTTAATTATTAAAATCTTTTAAAATATAATTTTTCATTAGAATTACAAAAATAATATTTAAAATTAGTAATTTGCAAGGTTTGCAGACTGCCGAGACCAAGTTATACTATGAAACATGTGTATACAAAATTAAAATTTTTTTTTGATTTTTATTTCTCTTTTGGTTTTAATAATAATAAAATAACAAATTTTAAATTACCAAACTTTAAAAAATTTTAAAAATATTTTAAAATTTGATATTATCTTACCAGTTTTGTCAGTTATAAGCTCCTCATCACTATCTTCAACACCAGCCACTTGATGTCTCAAAACAATTTCTGGCAATGGATTGTTTACAACTTCTGGATTGGCTACAGAACTCAGTTTGTCTTTCGAAGGCTTACAATTTACATTTACAATAAGACAAAGTAACAGGAACAAGCAGGGCGAGCGGTGTTTGAACATGGCTGAAATGATTGTAAAGGCTTCGACTGTCGGTTTTAATGACTTGTTTTTGGATTTGTTTTGAGTAATAACCTATCCAGACGGTTTACAATCCCCATTGTTATAGTTAAGCTGGTTGGGGGGAGGGGAGGTAAGGACAGAAGAGAGTTAGAGGATAGGGAAGTGGGGCGGGAGGGGTGAGAGGAGAATCGAAAGGGCAATGTGATTCATTAGAAAATCTTTAAAAGTTGTGTTTTGAATTACTTAAAAACTCTTAAAAAAACATTTTATTTGCAATTTTTAAATCAGTTTTATTAAAATAAAAAAAAATTTCTTCCGGACCAATTCGGAGCTTTTTCTTCGGTCCGGGTCCGCAGGTTTTTGGGTTCGGTCCGGTCCGCAAAAATTTTTGTTTCGGTCCGTCCGGTCCGGCAAAACACTGGCTATATGTATATATAATTTGAGGCTTGAGTTGGAAGGAGAGAGGGGAAGAACCCGATTGGCGATCCTGTTTATCAAGCTAACAAGTCGTAACAAAATACTCTTCAAGGCTTCAGGCTATTGTTGGAAACCTGTGTGGGCCAAGCAACGAATTTCCCATAATCGCTGTGCACCGACTGGTGTAGCCTGAATCGGCTTGATTATACAAAAGTTTCCAATGCAATGTGTAGCGTGTGGCCGGTTTAAAAAAGTTAGAAATTCGAATTGTAATATTTTGGAAAACCTTCTTCTTAAGCAAAACAACCCGCCGAGCACAGGGTGTGGCAATCAAAGTCTTATATTATAGATAAAAAAATTAATCATACACAAGTTGAGACCTTAAACATTTTTTTAAAATGGATAATAACTTGTTTGGCTCCTTTTCTTTTTTTAGCTTTATTAAACCTAGTCTTTTCAGCCCTAACCTAAACTTGTAACGTTTACCACAACTGCTTAACTATGATCAATTCAAAAATTATTTTTCAAATTACAACACTTTTTCTTTGTCTTTTATCGGTAATGTCGTTACCAGCAAGCACTAATCACACAAATTCCACATCTACCGTTACTAACGCAAAACCCCATATTCGATTAACTATTCACAAGAGCATCAGATGTGATGACAAACCAGTTGCTTCAGGGTATTGTGACGACGGCTGTTTCCGGTGGTATGGCAATTTTACTGAGTGGTACTTGAAGGTATAGTAATTCATTTTTTATGAATTTTAAAAAATTTAAAACACCTGTTTAGACCGGTCAAAAAGTTCATAGAAAAAATATTTTGGTCGGTCAAAAAGTGCGTAGACAATTAATGAAAAAATGAATTTTTTTATTAATTCAAAGTTTATTCAAAACGTTCTTTCACGGTCAAAAAGTGCCTAAAAATATTTTTGGACCGGTCAAAAAGTACGTAGAAATTGATTTTGAGCCCAAAATTATTCATGAAAGTCATACCTACAGGATTTTCGACTAAAAATCATCGGTTTAAAATTAAAATTTAAAAAAAAAATAATTTTTTTTCAGTTCGAAGACAACCAAAGTCGATATTTTGAGCTTTTCCAAGGCTACAATTGTGATCAGGAGCGATTATTCTTTGGATGGTTCCGGAACAATGTTTGTTTAGGCTTTCGAAGCAAAATCGTCGCAAATTCTTTGAAATGTCGTGATTCTGAATAGTGACAAAACATATTAAACTTAGTTCGAAATTCTGTCACATCTTACACCACTTTATCCTGCCTTTCCCTGTCCTGCCCGATTTTCAAGTTATAAACAATTAAAAAAAGTTTTGTCGTTTTTTACCGTGGAACTCAGTGTCAAAAAACGGCAAAACTTTTTTTTGGCAATTTTTGATAAATTTTTTAATTTTAAATTATAAAAAATAAATTTCAAAATCAATTTTAAGTTAATTTATTTAAAAACTCGATATCTATTCAATTATACAAATACATTCGACGACTACTGAATATGACAGTTACACAAATCGTATTTTACCATAGTGTAATAGGTCATAGTAAAAAATCACACAGACCATAACATAGCTTTTAGTATAGAATTACACATACTATAGTTTGGGTCGGGCTGGGAAAAGAAAGCACCCCCTAATTTTTTTAAAAAATTACCCCGCCCTACAAAAATTTTTGATCCGCCTCTCCCTTTTTTAAAACAAATTTTTTTCACCGCCCCTTACTTTTTTTACACTACTTTTGCTTTCCTCCCCCCACCCACAAAAAAAAATTTTTTTTGTTCCCCCATTAAATTTTCTTTACTCCTCCCCTTCTTTTCAAAATTTTATTCCTCTACCTAACCCTAACCATAGTACACATACAATCATAATGCTTCGTATTTTACATTGAAACCAGTACCACCCGCCACGTTTACCACGCCTGAATCCGATTCCGGAGGCGTTAGTGTAGCAGCATCGTTCGATGGTGTTACCATGTTTTGGTCGAAGAATATGGTCGTATTTTGGTCGCCTTCTTGCGATTTGAGGTACATTTGAGACTGTAATTGGTTGGCCGAATACTGTTGATAGTAACTGTTATAATACATTGGGTTGTAGTTGGCTCCGAATGCGAATGGGTACATCTGGAAAGAAAGTTTCCGTATTTGCAAAGCTTGTAAAGGAAATTTTTTTTATCTAATCTACCCTACCCTACCCTATCCTACCCTACCCTACCCTACCCTACCCTACCCTACCCTACCCTACTCTACCTACTATACCGTCCTACCGTACCTTACCCTACTCCACTCTACAGTACCCTATTTCCATAAAATTTTCTTCACTACCGCACACTACTCTTATTAATAGCTCTGCTTTACATACTTTGCCATGCCATGCCCTGCACTGTAATTTATATTTGTCTTATCCTATAAACGCCCTGCGTACCGCACCCTTTCCCTCTAAGTCGACCTACCGTAACCTTCTTCGGTAACTTTACCTACTCTTATAAATTACTCTACCCTAGTACACCTCACCCTTATAAAAATCCTTGCCGTACGTACTCTACACCTATAAAATGCTTTACTCTACCTTAGGTTGCGCTGCTTACACCGCTTTTTTGATTGCTTTACCGCGTCCTATAATATGTTCTACGCTGCCGTACTTTACCCTATAAAACGATCTACTCTAATGTAACTTACCTTTCAAATAGCCCTACCTTAGTCTATTTTTATCCTACCCTATAAGTTACACTGTTCAACCCCACCCTACACAACACTTTCAATTTTAATATAGTACTACCCTACCTGTGTAGCATTAAGCCCAGCACCAGCCATACTATTGAAATTGTTAAAAGTATTAGAATAGTTCGAGTAAAACGGCTGCTGAAAGCCTTGAATGGCAGTCGTTGGCTGAATATCAATTCCATTTAGGCTACTATTGATTTGATTTTCATCCAACTCGGCCAACCCATTTGACTCTTTCGAACATGAATTATTCGACCGGTTGGAGTCAGAATCCGAAAACAGGTCGAAGGTGGACTTGTCCTTGGAATGTCTGAAAAGGAAAGGCATATTATGTTTGGCATTTTAGTAAAAGTTAAGGAAATGGCAAAAACTTTCTTTAAAAAACAAATAATTGCAAGAACTTTCTTTACAAAATTCAAAATGGCAAGAACTTTCTTTACAAAACAGAAAATTGCAAAAACGCTCTTTACAATACAAAAAATGGCAAAAACTTTGTTTACAACACAAAAAATGGCAAGAACTTTCTTTACAAAACGAAAAATGGCAAGAACTTTCTTTACAAAACAAAAAATGGCAAGAAATTTCTTTACAAAACGAAAAATGGCAAGAACTTTCTTTACAAAACAAAAAATGGCAAGAACTTTCTTTACAAAACGAAAAATGGCAAGAACTTTCTTTACAAAACGAAAAATGGCAAGAACTTTCTTTACAAAAAAAAATTGCAACAACTTTCCTTACAACACAAAAAATGGCAAGAACTTTTTTTACAAAACAGAAAATTGCAAAAACTTTCTTTACAATACAAAAAATTACAAGAACTTTCTCTACGAAGCATTAACGGGCAACAACTTTCCTTACAAAACAAAAATGGCAAAACAATTTTTATTGTATAACTTGTCGCCCGCAAGCTGCAAAATCTCAAAATATTGGCTTGTTTTGATGCAAATGGCAAGAACTTTCTTTACAAAACGAAAGTCATTTCAAACTCACTTTGTGCTCTGCCGTGCCCGTTGTCGTTGGTTTTTGAACCAGTTTGACACTTGGGTGACGTTGAGGTTGGTTTGATTTGAAAGCTCCTGTTTTTCGGCTTGAGATGGCATTGGGTTCTTCAGGTAGGCATTCCTCAATATCCGACGGTCACATTTCTAAAAAATGACAAATTTTCTTTACAGAGCAAACAATGGAAAGAACTTTCTTTACAGAATTTAAGATTGCAAGAACTTTGTTTACAAAACACAAAATAGCAAAAAATTTTAGATCCGGCGTTGACCCAACCCATCCCGGCCACCAGCCAAATTGGAAAAAAATTGAAAAAGACCGTGCCGGACCAGATTATACTGGTCTGAAATTAGGCTCAAGATTAGATCCGGCTTCTTTATAAGTCCAAACAGGGTCAATTGTAGTAGAAGTATATTATAATTACCTTAAAATGATACATAGTCTGCTCTCCATCCCAAATCGTCTTCGGATAGCTGTGCTTCTTCCGTACTCGATACCTTGTCACTGGGTCTAGTGGCGCGTCTTTACTCCTCGTTCGTTCGGTCTGAAAATAGTAATGTAAAAAAAGAACGGTTGGGCCTAGAGCTAAGCACAAGGACTAAAATTCAGCAAGAGTAAAGCTAAAACAGGACTGACAGCGGACCCACTTAGTTCAGCCCGGCCCCGGTCTAAAGCAAACTGAAAAGGGGCAAAGCCGAATCAAAATGTAAGGCCCGGCCGCCGCGTTACAGGTCTACGCTACAGTAAAACAGGCGTAAAATTAGGCTAGACCTAAGACTAAAGCTAGAACTAAAGTTAGAACTCTGAGCTAGGGCTCTGGGCTATGGCTTTGGGCTAGGGCTCTGGGCTAGGGCTCTGGGCTAGGGCACTGGGCTAGGGCTCTGGGCTAGGGCTCTGGGCTAGCGCTCTGGGCTAGCGCTCTGGGCGGGGACTAGTACTTACCTCTTTATAATGAGCTTCATTCCACAAATACTGTAGATCAGGATGATACTCTCTTGGGAATGTGGTCGATTCTAATAGAAAATATAATTCTTTAAAGTTTTCCTGTTGAAACAACTGTAATGCTCTTAGTTTAAGGACACATGGTTCATTATGATGTCTGGTCAGGCCGATTTGAAGTAAAAAATTGTTGAGGAAACTCTCTGACATGGCCTGATCTTTCTGTTTCTCGATGGCATTGCATATCTGTTTGATGTAGGAGACAGGAAAGGAGTCCAAGGAGGGAGCACTGGAATGCTTTTTATTTTTGTTGGATTTGATTTATATTTTTATATTGTAGCTTTTTCAAAATTTTATATTGTACTATGATACTGTATTTCGATTTTTTTAAAATTCACTATATGATTCATGGCTCATTAATTTTTGAACGTGGTAGCTCATTGTTTTTTTGGACACCTTAATATGTTCAAGATGTAAGTAAGGTATTTAGTTTTTTTTATTTTTTTACTTTAGAACGGCTTTTTGAACTGTTATTGTACTCGCCGTATAACATGTCACCCGCAGTCTGCAGCAAAATAAAAACTAATTGTCATGGTGTAATTTGTCACGAGCAGCTTGCAGAGAACTTAAAATAACTTATTTTGATACAAATGATAAAAACTTTCTTTACAAAGCTAAAAATTACAAAAATTTGTTTACAAAACAAAAAATAGTAAAAACTTTCTTTACGAAACATAAAATTGCAAGACCTTTCTTTACAAACCCTAAAATGACAAGAATTTTCTTTACAAATACAAAAACAAGATTTTTTATAAAACTCAAAAGTTCAGCATTTCTTTTGATTTAGCTAGCCTTGATTATCTTATATTAGTCCCAATGTTTGTTCTTTTGACCCTCTCAACCAGCAAAGTAAAGTAAAACAAAAAAGTTTTGTCATTGTGACGCTGCGGGGTGTCAATACCTATGCGACTCTCGAAGCCACCTCTCTCTTTCTCTCGACGTTATTGTACTGATCTGTTTGTGTTGAAGAAGCCTGAAGAGGCAATGGATAAACATTGAATTTATAAAAGGACATGGCTGGGGTAAAAATTGATTAGAAAACTTGATTTTTGGCATTGGAACGAAAGTTTTTGTCAGTTTATGGCTTGTATAAAAAGTTCTTGTCGTTTTTTGTTTTGTAAAGAAAGTTTTTGCTACTTTTTCTTATGTAAGGGATGTTTTTGCCATTTTTGTCTACATAAGCTATTTTAACGTTTTGCAGGCTGCAGATGACAAGTTATACGACAAAAATAATTTTTTGTTTTGTTAAGAAAGTTCTTGCTTTTTGTTGTTTTGTAAAGAAAGTCCTTACCATTTTATTTTGTAAAAAAAGTTTTTGCCACCTAAAGTCCTGTAAACCAAGTTCTTGCACTTTTATACCAAAATTTATTACTGTAAACAAAGTTCCTGCTTCCTTGCATTGTTTGCCCAAACCGGGTACCACACTTAATGAAATTGCGCAACCTAACCTCAACTTAAGGATTGTTTATCCGCTGAAAGTGGCACAGCCAAGATCATTGAAATCCGATATGGCAGGGGTAAGGAAAAAGTTTTTTTTACAAAGTCCCAAACCGCTCTTTAACACCATTCGGCTTGGGCTTTGAAGCCGACTTTAAATCGCAATTAGTTTAAATTGGAAAGGTTTAGGGGGTTAGGGGGGGGGGGTTACTGTAGGTGTTACAACGAAAAGACGGTTACTGTAAATAAGCTGTAAAATACGATAAAAATAAAATTGAGTAGTGAAAAAAGTAGTAAAATACGACTTTTACTAAGTTCAGATCAAAAACAATCGCAGAAACTTTCTTTACACTATAGAAAATGCTTTTCATCGTATAACTTGTTACCTACAGCCTGCAAATCCAAAAATAACTTGTTTAACAAGAAATGGCTAGGATTTTCTTAAAAACCAAAAAATTGCAAGAACTTTCTTTACAAATGACAAAATGGCAAGCACTTTTTTTAGAAACTATAAGAAGAGCAAAAACAGTATTTACCGTATAACTTGTCAACAGCAAGCTGCAGAACCAAAAATTTTGGTTTTTTTGACTAAAATGGCAAGAACTTTCTTTACAAAAAAAATTTTTCAAAATTTTTAAAATTCAAATTTCCCGCCAACTCTCTCTATCCTCCTGACTTTATAATACTTCCGTCGGAACACCTTGCCAAATAAAGTCAAACACAGCCGGGAATGTTTGGCCAGCTGAGTGTTTGGACAAGGAGCGGATCAGCTTCACAATCTCGTTATGGCATAATTTACTTATTCACATGTATAAATAATATATTGTAGGGGGGGGGTGGAGGAAGGCCGTTGAGGGCAGGTTAGAAGAGGGTAGGATAGAATAGGCATGGCGTAGGGCAGGGGACCAAAACCACTTTTCAGTTTACAAGACATAAAATGGCAAGAACTTTCTTTACAAAACGAAAAATGGCAAGGACTTTCTTTACAAAGCAAAACATAGCAAAAACTTTCTTTACAAAACAAAAAACGGCAATAACTTTATTTACAGAGCTAAAAATGCTTTCCATTGTATAACTTGTTACCTGCAAGCTGCAAAAACATAAAATAAGTTTTTTAATTGTAAAATACGGTTTGTTTTCACCCTTAGTAAAAAATAATTCTTTTAATCAATTTCAACAAAGTTTTAAATTTGTTACATAAAAATTAAAATTTGTTATCTAAATCCAAGCCCTGATAAATCTTTTCCGTCTGCCACACTAAAAATTACCCCACTACCACTTGACCCGACCAATGGCCGAGTTGCATATCCGTTTCGGTTGTTATGCAATTGGACACACTTAATGGATTAGACAATGAAATCCCTAATTCTCTGGTTTTTGCAAACTTTAGGTAACAAGTTGAGTTCAAGCTGAGTAAAACGTCAGAAATGGCAATTTTAAAAATTTTAAAGAAAGTTCTTACCATTTTATGTTTTGTAAAGAAAGATCTTGCTATTTTCTGTTTTGTAAAGAAAGTTCTTGCCATTTTCTGTTTTGTAAAGAAAGTTCTTGCCATTTTGTGTTTTGTAAACAAAGTTTATGCTATTTTTTGCTTTGTAAAGAAAGTTCTTGCCATTTCGAGTTTTGTAAAGAAAGTTCTTGCATTTTTGTTGTACGTTGTCCATACTGTACTTTTCCTACCATCTCCCTCACTTTTATGCCCCGCGGCCCTCTTATTTGTTTTGTTTTTCGAAATTTTTGGGCCACAATCATTTGCCGGAAGCCATCTGGCCATAGTGCCATTCTTGGGCCAACAAAACATTCAAAGAGCCAAGTCCTTAAAAGCGGACTGAGCAAACAAAGTCATGAATTTAATCAAAAAATGTGGCCATAAATGTAGTACTTGAACAAATAGTCGTTGTGACCATAACCCGAAGGGTTACGGTAGTTACTAGGGGTAATGATAAGTAAGGGTAACTAGTAACTGAAGCGAAGAATAAGTAAAAGATACGGTAGCTACTGTGGGTAAGAATAAGTTAAAGGGTAGGGCAAAGGTGGCAGTAGGCCTAACTGGGTGAAGGGAGGGGGAGGGGATAAGGTAGGCAAGAGGATAAGGTAGGGTAAACAAAGATAAGTCATGGTAAACCACGATAAGGCAAGGAAGAGCAGGGTAAGGCAGGGTAATGTAGAGTAGGGTAGGGTAAGGAAGGTCAAAGCAATGCAAGAAAAGGCAAGATAAAGCAGCGAAGAGCAGAGCAAAAGGTAGGGTAAGGTAGGGTAGGGTAGGGTAGGGTAGGGTAGGGTAGGGTAGGGTAGGGTAGGGTAGGGTATGGTAGGGTAGGGTAGAATAAGGTAGGGTAGGGTAGGGTAGGGTAGGGTAGGGTAGGGTATGGTAGGGTAGGGTAAGGTAGGGTAGGGTAGGGTAGGGTAGGGTAGGGTAGGGTAGGGTAGGGTAGGGTAGGGTAGGGTAGGGTAGGGTAGGGTAGGGTAGGGTAGGTAGGATAGTTTTAGTTTTTTGTCACGCTTTACAAATTTTCCAAAAAGTTTTGGTTACGGTATTCTACAGTATTCTTTATCACCGTATATGGCTTACTACAATATTTCAATAAAAATAAACAATTTATAAAAAATTAAAAAACTGTTTAAAATGGCAATAGAAATAATAAAATCAGCCCTACCTTTCAGTAGCACATTGTAACAGTTGATTATCGTCGATCTGCATCTGGCTTATATTGTACATGTTGGAGAACCCAAATTGGTTCGGGTCGAAATATGGCATCATCTGAATAGAGTTTGGTGCCTGAAATGGTACTATATGATAAAGAAGATACTAGTCTATATTTTTTAAATGTAAAATACAAAGACTTATTCAAAGGTAACCTTGAAAATGGCGGTAAAACATCAAATGCACCTTAAAAACTCCAAAAAATCAAGGTATATGTTCCAAAAAGTAATGTGTAAAACTCCCTACATACCCAATTACCAAACCACTTCACAGTACTATCAACCACACCCCAATGTAACTAAAAAGATCCAATGTACCCACAAAAATGACCCATGAACCGCGTTATGACCGCTACATCTAGGATTTCATCCTCAACGTGTAGATCCCATTTCACGTCCACTCGAACACGTAACACAAGTTGTGAACATGCCCGTATCCCATTACTATTGTAAGATAATCCTCAATCTAATACTCCACCCTCAAATTTTGTTTTTTTTTCGAAATTTGTCGCGGGTTTTGTTGAAAAGTTGCGGATTTTGAAGGAAAAAATTTGCAAATTTGGCAAAAAACGCTACATATATTATATGTACTGGTACTGTTTAGTACCAAAATAATACTTAAATTACTCCTCAGTATCTTAGCTTTCATAAAAACTCAAATTCAACCCATTCCCTACAGTACCACTTGCACAATCTACAAAAAACCCATCCCTACTCAGCTGATGCCTATGATAATATAAATTAAAATCAAATTTTAAAAAATTTTGAAAAAATTAAAAGTGTAGTAATAAGCCTAAATTTTAGAGAAAAAGCTGGAATGAAAAGCGTTTCAGGTTGGCTTCAATGTTTGGCCAAGAAACCACCGACAGCCAATCAGCGCCCGCGACGAGCTCAAGGCCAGCGATTAGCTCCGCCCACTGACTTTGAAAGGGGGAGACTTTGACAAAAGTTAAATTGAAAATGAAGTAGATTGAAAAAAAAATTTTCATTCATAGTTGGGAAAGGCGTATTTTACATTTTTTAATCAATAATTAAAATTTAAAAAAAATTTTTAATTTGAAAAATTTTTTTTAATTTTTGAAAAAATGACAAAACTTATTGACACAAAATGACCAAAAAACATTAATGTAACTGCTTAATTTGTAAAATACGGTTAAACCTAGAAAGAAATCGAAAAAAATCAAAAAACTTGCCATCTGGCCCACTATGACATTATTTAGCCACGCTGATGACAAACTAAACGAACACTACTTGGCAGGTGTGATGGTTTGTTTATTCTAGATCTATATTAACATAGAAACGTCATTTTTGAGTTTGAAAATGGCTTGGGTTTTTGGCTTTTTAGATTTGTAGGTGCCTTTGGTTATAGGTTAATTTAAAATAAATGCCATTTTTAATTACATTTATGACAAAAATTAAAAAATTTTGATTGACATAGGTACTTTCAATACAATGTGTCATATTGTGTTAAAATTTTGTTTTATTTCCAAAAGTGTAGAAAAAGATATGGCAATTTAAAAAAATTTAAACTCTAGACTTTTTTCAAACTCAAAGAAAGAATAAAGGTAAAATACGACTATGCTTAACAATAGTATTCAAATAAAATTGTATTTTTTTGAATTATTAATTTTACACAAAGTTTTTGCCATTTGTGACAAAACAGGCTATTTTATGACTTTGCAGACTGCGGATGACAAGTTATACGACGAAGGTTATTTCATGTCTTAATAAAAAAAGTTAATGCTGTTTTTTGTGTTATAAAAAAAAGTTCATGCCATTTTTTGTTTTGTAAAGAAAATTCTTGCTATTTTCTGTTTCGTAAAGAAAGTTCTTGCAATTTTTAACGAAAAATTCTCAGTTACGGCTTTGCATGCTGCGGTTGACAAGTTATACGACGAAAACTATTTTTTTGGCTTTGTAAGGAAAGTTCTTGCTTTTTTCTGTTTTGTAAAAAAAGTTTTTGTAAAATACGGCCTGGAGGTATCAAAGTGGTAAAAATTTTAAAAATTTAAAAATTTAAAAGTTTTTGTTTTCCTAACCCGCAGGGCACTTTTCGTAATTTTCGAATTTGCTAAAAGCATTGGGACGAGACATTTTGTTTGCCAGTCGGTTTCGTGACCCTTTGATGGTTTGCCTCCCCTTTCCTCTTCTCTTCCACCTTTTCCTCTCCCTCTTCCATTCATTGGTCGCGCTTTTAATCGTTCTATAATATAAAGGACAATTATTTGCTTGACTACTGTAACATTAATTTAATTGAAAGGCAAAGCACTAATCAATAGTTTGGTACTCAATAGTATGGTACTCAATAGCATAGTACTCAATGATATGGTACTCAATAGTATGGTACTCAATGATATGGTACTTAATAGTATAATACACTATAGTATGCTGCTCCATAGTACGGTACTCATTAGTACGGTATTCAAATATTATGGGGCACAATAGTATAGAGTATAGTAATCAATAGTAAAGTGCGTAGAGACTATGGCAAATCGATTTCTAAAGCTGACACAGGCTTCCCACTACGGCCTCAAGTCTTGAAGAGCAGCTCCTTACGACTCTATTGGGTCGTACCCAGATGATCCTGAGCTCGAGAAACGAAATCACTTAGATGAAACGCAATTGCCAACAGCTACAATGCATTGCCTTGACGGTTCTCACCAAATCCTCACCATCCTTATCACAACTTTGTTTTACATTATATGGTGCTCAGTATAGTGCTCAATAGTATAGTACTGTATAATATGTTACTCAATATTATAGTACTTAATAGTATAGTACTCATAGAGCTTTATAAAAATATTTTTTTAACTTTCAAACAATTTAAAAAAATAAAACGGCATTTTATACATAATTTATGATTTTGCAACCTGCAGGTGACATTTTATACGATGATATTGAGAATATTCCGTTTTGACAAGAAAACGCCAATTTTTGTTTTGTAAAGAAAGTTCTTGCAATTTTTGACTTTGTAAAGAAAGTTCTTGCAATTTTTTGTTTTGTAAAGAAAGTTCTTGCCATTTTCTTCGACTTCCGTTGAATATCTATTCTTCTATTATATATTACCTATCCTAACATTATGCAACTTTTCCTCCATTTCTTGGCCATATTTCCTAAATCTCTTTTCTCTAACATATCTCTTATCCTTGCACTCTCTCACACATTGTTGGCGACCAGAAGCTTGCTGAAGTGTTGTTGAGTGGCTGTTCTCGGGCGGGGGGATTTGCAGGTAGTTCAAGTGACTATAAATAAAGGCCAATCCCCAAACAATTGCGTAATCGTGGACTAGTTGATTTTTGGATAATTAACGATGCAAAGAAGCAAGTTTAAAGTAAATCTCAAAAAACCTTGGCTTACAGATAGTAACATTATTAAACTTAATCGGTCGAAAGGCTTTGAAATACGATCCAACTATCCCGAAGTATTTTCTTTGACCCTACCCTACCCTACCCTACCCTACCCTACCCTACCCTACCCTACCCTACCCTACCCTACCCTACCCTACCCTACCCTACCTTACCTTACTCTACCCTACCCTACCCTACCCTACCCTACCCTACCCTACCCTACCCTACCCTACCCTACCCTACCCTACCCTACCCTACTCTACCCTACCCTACCTTACCCTACCCTACCCTAGCCTACCTTTTTCTTTCTTACCTTCCTCTTTTTTGCCTTGCCCTGCTCTTTTCTTGCCTTACCGGCCCTTTCAAGCCTTACCCTCTTCTTGCTTGTCTTAGCCTCTACCTAGTTCCACTCTACCTTCGCTTTTATCATATACCGTACTACTGGCCTTCTGCACCCTTACCATTATCATTACCGTGCCCTTAGTCTACTATTTCTTTGCCTTTTCTCTACCCTTACACCCTTACCTTGTCCTAACCGTGCTTTACCTTATTCATATTACTCCACTTTTACCTTACCTTACTCTATCCTATTCTACCCTACCCTACCATACCTTACCCTACCCTACCCTACCCTACCCTACCCTACCCTACCCTACCCTACCCTACCCTACCCTACCCTACCCTACCCTACCCTACCCTACCCTACCCTACCCTACCCTACCCTACCCTACCCTACCCTACCCTACCCTACCCTACCCTACCCTACCCTACCCTACCCTACCCTACCCTACCCTACCTTATCTTACCTTACCCTGTCCTACTCTACCACAATAATAACTTTATAACTGTACCCCAACTACATCAAACCCAATCCCATCCCGAACAAAAAAAACCGAATTGCAAATTGTCAGTTTTACCGTTTTAATTAACGAGAAAATGAAAATTCGAAGAAAAGTGGTTTTGGCCACGGAAATGGCCGAGAAAGACGGTGGATCAAATTTCTTATTTTTTTCGAATTTCGCTTCACAAGAGATTGGGATGAAAGGCCTCGAGATTTGTGACCAATGAAAAGTTACGCTCGGTCTAAATTTAAAAACAAAAAATTTTAAAAGTTCTTACCAGGAAAGTAAAGTAGGAGAAAGTAGAGTAGAGTAAAAAAGTAAAGGCAGGGTAAGGTAGAGTAGACTATAGATAAAGTAACAGTAGAACAAAGTGAAGGTAGACATTGAAGATACAATAGCTAAAGTAGAAGTTAAATATTTTTAAGAGAAGCTGAGGAAACGCAAAGGTAAAGGTAGAGTAAGGGTACGGTAGGGTAGGGCAGGGCAGACTAGGGTTTGAGTAAGACAACAGTAGAGTAAAGCAAAGACGAAGATAGAAAAGATAAGAAATTACAGTGTTAAAGATAAGACAAAGTTAAAACTAATGTTAAGTTGTTCAAATAATTCAGTGCCCCTTCCCTTTCAAATACAATTTTTGGGGCTTGGGGCTCATAATTATATGAACAAATAAAAAGAAAAAAAGAAAAATTTAGGTAAGGTAGTTCTAGGGTAGTTCATAGGATAGCAATACGATTTTGGGTAATGTAAAACAAGTTATATGATGTTGGGTGATGTGAAGTGGTAAGGCAAAAAGGTAGAACAAAGCAAGAAATAGGTGCTCTGTTTTGCCTTGCCCTACCGTTAAGAAAAAAGTAAGCCAAGGCAAAACAGAGGTAAAGTAATCCAAGGTTACAGTAAATCAAAGAGTAGGGTAAGGTAAATATTATAAAACTAAGGCTAGGGCTCTGGGCTAGGGCTCTGGGCTAGGGCTCTGGACTAGGGCTCTGGGCTAGGGCTAAGGCTCTAAGCTGGGACACTGGCAGGGTAAAGTAAGAAAAAATGACGTTAAAAAGCAAAAATTGGGATGAAAAAACTTAAAAAACTAAAAACGCCGGCAAAGTTGATTTAAAAAAATAAACAAATTGTCGCGCGACAATTTATTGGCCATAAATTCAAAGGTAAAACTTCCGATTGGAATAATGTGATACGTGAGCAAAAACTTTGTGGCCACAGTTTTTGTTTATTTCGAAAAGGAATTCAAAGTGAGCAGTTTTAGGAGGGAGGGGGGGGTGAATCATTAAACTGTTTTGTCACTTTATAGGTAAATATAAGCCTAAAAGGCTTGATTATAGCACCAAAAAATTTTTTTAGGTATTTACTAATAATGTCATAATAAAATGTATTTATCAAGAACAAAATTATTTATATTTTGCAGCTTTAGTTCCCGTATTTTACAATTTAAAATTTTTTTTATTTTTTAATTTCTTCCACTTATTAAGGAAGCCTACTTGACCCACTCCTTACCTCAAAATCACCAAAAGCGACTCCGTGTTTCTATAGCCAAGTGGCTAAGCAGTTTGCTTTTGACTCGCAAGACACTTGGTTCAAAGCCGGTGGGCCTATCTCAACTATAAAGTCGTTTTTCAATAAGGCTTTGTCCTTCAATTAGGCCAAAAGTATTGCTCATATTAGTTCGCACTAATCGCTCGTCCCAACGCGATGTTGCCTGTCTATATGCAACATTTTGCAACTTTTTTGATCTTTTTTTTAATTTTAAGACATTTTTTGATAGATAAGTTCAGTAGGTCTAGGGAAGGACTAGTCTCGGAAAAGCTAGGTAAGGCTAGATAGGAGTAATGCAAGTCAAATTTTGTGCAATGGTAACGTCTAGGTAGAGCAAGAGTATGGCTAGAGTAAGAGAAGCGGGCAACGTTTGGGTAAGAGTAGGGTCTAGATAGAAGGTAAGACACTGGTAAAGCAAATGTAAATCAATTGAATGACTAGGATAAGAAAAGAGTGGAGCAAGGTCACGTATAGAAAAAAAACAAGGGTATAACAAAGGTAGGGCAAGTGCATGGCAAGGGTAAGGAAAGAGTAGAACAGTAGTATGGCTAGTGTAAGACAGGTAAGGCAAAATTAGTGCACGGGTACGGCATAAGTGAGCTAAAATAAAAATCAACAGAGCTAGCACAAAGCAAGAGAAAAACATAAGTTAAACATGTTTCAAGCTAGAGTAAGGCAAGGCCAGGGTAGGAAAAGGAAAGGGTACATAATGAGTAATAGTATCGCTAGACTAGGACAAGGGTCAGACAAGGGTAGGACTAGGATTTGAATTAATAATTTGGAGTAGCCAGGAAAAACCAATATTAGAGCAGGAACTTTAAGGTAAAGAGTAGGCCAACGGCACGGGTTACTTTGACTAAGCTACGACTAAGATAGGACTTGGGTAAAGCTGAGGCAGAGCTTGTCAATTGATTATTACAGTAATATTCTATTATTTATGCTTTTTATTAACTTTTAGATCAATAATTTTATTTCTTATACATTTTTTATAATTTAAGTAGTAATTCCAAAGCATTTTCAAATATAATGTTTATTATACATAAAACAAAAAATAAACTCAATGATTAACAAGATGATTTTAAAATGCAATATTAGACCCAGATATTCAACTTGTGTTAAAAGCAAACAAAATTTTTAAAAAATTTTAAAATAAAGCAAAAATACAAATTAAAATTCAAACAAAACTCATTTTAAAACCGAAAAACTCGACTTTTACTTGGTAGGAGATGGATGTAGCGAATTGACCTGAATAGTGCTACTAACCACATCAGTTGGTTCATTGGTACTGTCAATGAAATCAATGTCCAAACTGATTGGATCACTTTTCGAATTCTGGATCAGCGGATTATACGAGCTGGACTGAGCATTGGCTAGCGATTTTCGTTTTTTGTCCTCACTTTTGCCACCACGACAACAATACTTGGCACAGAGACAGGCTAGACAGCCGACAGTGAAGGCTAGAGCTAGGATGGCGGCGGTGAAGATGGCAAAGGTTTTGGTCAGCTCTTCTCGATCCATTTTCATTTTTTTGAAATTTGGATTCTCAGCGTTGCGTAAGCCAAAAAGCAGGAGATTCAGAAGGGTGGGAAAGGTTAGAATCTTGGAAATTGGATTCTAATGGAAAAATTGAAAAATTGAAATTGTGATTTTGAAAAATTTTAAAAAATTTAAAATCAGGTTTTAAAGACCAAAAAAATAAGACAAACTACAATTTTAGAAAAATCTAGAAAGTTATGTAGATATAGTACCAGTATGAAGTCGGTAGTCACAGCACCTCGAAGGTATTGTAATAGCCTCACAAAGAAAATGAAACAGTAGTTGTAGCAAGTACTATATTATAGTATTAAGTAGTGGCACTAGTATGTGTTAATACTTGGCTGTAGAACTATATTAAAATAGTATCTTGAAGCCGTACTATTTTGTATCAACAGTTGATTGTAGTACTAGCTTGTATAATGTCAATCCCTAGTCGCAGGGCCAGGTTATTCACTGGATTTTACACTACAGAATAGTCGTTGGAAGTAGCATTGTATTCATAACTAGTAGATGGTACGGTAACTATGGTAGGCCTGAAAAATAAATTTTTAGTGTTATATTAACAATGTAAGACGACAGTATCACGAAAAATTGTACCATAATTTAAAATACATGTTTTAACTAATTCAAACCCGTTTTAAGCTAAGCGATATCCCTATACTTATGAGGATCATCTAGGCAACCCCCAACCTCGACCTAGTCCGGGACAAAGTCAAAGCTAATTTTAGAAAATCCGAGCCACGCCGGCGCTTATAGACCAGAAAGCCTGAACCCAAACCATGTCTTAGCCCGTGGAATAAGCCGAAAAATTAAGACATCCCCCTTCCCCTCCCCCCACGGCCCTGCCGATCACTATACATGTACGGACCCGGCCCAAGAATGAACAAAATTCAGGTACATCAGCTAAAGCCGGGTTAAAATTGAAACGAGTCAGGCCGGGCCAAAAAAAAATTAAACAAGCCAAGCTGTGCCACAAAACTATGTCTATATACAAGTATACCTCCAATTTCTTCCACTTGACAAAAAAATAGTTCAAATACAGCCTGTATGAATATGTTACGTTAGCTCAAAATGCTCATAACCCAACGTTTATAATGAGTATTTTGACGCAAATTTATACGAAAATAAGACGGACGCTTTCTCGAAAAACAATTAAAAATAAAAGTCCATAATAAGTTCGTGAGACAGTAATTTATACCGTTAACATGCAAAGTAAAATTTCAAAAATTTAAAATGAATTAAGGAGCTAGAACTACCAATAGCTATGGCTAGAGATACGGCAAGAGCTGCGGCTAAGGACGCGGTTAGGACTACGTCTTGGGCTACAGGTAGAGCTACAGCTAAGGCTACAGCTAGGGCTAAACCTAGAACTACGGCTAGCGCTCTGGCTAGGCTAGGGCTACTTTGCATGCTCTTTCGCCCTATTACTTATCTTATATCTCGTCATGTTGTGGTTTAATATTTTTTAAACAAAAATAAATATTAAGATGAGCTCTTCAACTTGCTTTAGAGCATTTTTAATCGCTTATTTTGAACTCTAGGAACAAAAATTGATTATTAAAAGGCTTGCAAAAGAACCCCTTTAACGTTTTTTGCTTTGTAAAGAAAGTTCTTGCCATTTTTTGTATTGTCAAGAAAGTTCTTGCCATGTTTTTTTGTAAAGAAAGTTCTCGTCATTTCTTGTTTTGTAAAGAAAGTTCTTGCCATTTCTTGTTCTGTAAAGAAAGTTCATGCCATTTTTTTGCTTTGTAAAAAAAGTTCCTGCCGTTAATTTTTTTTAAAAAAAGTTCTTGCCGTTTTTACTTGAACAAGCTATTTTATTATTTAGCAGGCTACAGGTGACAAGTTATACTATGAAAAGCTTTTTTTTATTTTCTCTATTAAATGCTCAAACCCACCCCCATAAAATGCACAAAAACACATCTTAAAAAGCTAAAACGCCTAAAACACAGCCTTAAAAAATTTTAAAAAACACGGCTTTAAATGTCTAAAACCATTCCTTTAATAAGCTCAAAAAGACGCCTTAAACGTTCGAAAAATCACTCCCTTAAAAGCTTAAAATCACCCTTTAAAACATAAGCTACTAATACCTCCTACCAAACCGTAAAATTAGCTGATCTGCCTCCTATTATTACTACAAAACCACCCCCTAAAAGTTATATCACCACTCCTATCAAAACTCTGAAACTCCCTTTGTAACAACTTTAACCACCACCCCTTTGAAAATAGTAAAGTAACAAAAAGCGGTTTCCAAGCCCTGAGGCTAAAAGATATTGTTTTGTTGGATTTTGATCAGAAAAGTGAGAAAAGCGAATCCATTTTTCCTGATCTTTTTTTTCGCTTGGCCGCAGGTAAGAGAGCCTGCTTCGAGTCTCAAAAAAATAAAGATCTCTCGCTTAATTACTTATTTTTTCATAATAAAACCCGTTTAATGCATTTTAATGACAGCCGGCTTCTGCCAAAGGGTTTTGAACAAAAACGTTTTAATTTATTAGTGCTGCTGGGTATAAGGCAAAGTATAATAGAGCTAGAGCATTAGTAAGGTAGGTTTAGTGACGAGCTAGGTGGTGATACAAAAGACCAACCGTAGAATTAAAGAAAGGCTAGGGTAGAAGCTAGTTAAAAGTTAAAAATAGCAAGAACTTTCTTTACAAAGCATAAAATGACAAGGACTTGCTTTACAAAGCAAAAAATATTACGTTAATCGTATAACTTGTCACCCACAGATGCAACACTCTAAACTAACTCTTTTTTTTTGGAATGACAAGAACTTTCTTTACAGAAAAAAAAATGGCAAGAACTTTCTTTCAAAACAAAAAATGGCATGAACTTTCTTTACAGAAAGACAAAATGACAAGAACTTTCTTTACAGAAATAACCGAAAACTTTTCATTGTATAACTTGCCACCCGCAGCCTGCAAAACTCTAAACTAACTCTTTGTTTTGTAATGGCAAGAACTTTCTTTACAGAAAAAAACGAAAACTTTTCATTGTATAACTTGCCACCTGCAAAACTCTAACTAGCTCATTTTTATTGAAACAGCGATAACTTTCTTTACGAAACAATATGGCAAGAACTTTCTTTACAAGACTCAACCTAGAGATGCTGTAGTAAAAATACTCTTAGTCGTATAACTTGTCACTTGCAGGCTGCACTGCACTTTTTTCAAGAATTTTCTTTGCAAAGCACAAAATGACAAAACCTTTCTTTACAAAATTTTTTTATTTTATCGTATAGCTTATCCATTGTGGGCTGCAGAAGGGTTTCAACAAGGCAACAACTAAAGAATGACATAAAGACAGTAAAGTAAGTCTTAAACGTATTTTACAAATCCTAAATTAGACCAAGGTTGCTCACTCTGCCCGATCCGACCTTTAACCAGGTCGGCCCCTTCACAGGTCTACCCTACATATTAGGTGCAGGCATAAGGAACCCGCCATACTTTTCCTGTAATTTTCTGTAAAAAATGGCGGGTTCTTTATGTCAGCATCTAATACTTTATAAAATAGCAACTGAACGCTAAATGAAAGAAACACTAATAATAAAGTGGTCGTTCAAATACGAAATTAAAACATTCGGCCGAATCTCATTAAGCAACTTCAAACATTGTTAAAACAAACATTCCGCCGAAACCATTGGAAACACTTTTTTAGGTATCGTACTCAAAAAAGATATGCTTTTGGTAGTGTATAGGTTAAGGGATTTGTAAAATACGAAAGGTCTAAAAAGTCGACTAAATAGCAAAAACTTTATTTACAAAGCCAAAAATGGCAAAAACTTTCTTTAAAGTACAAGAAATGACAAGAACTTTCTTTACAAAAAAAAAATATAGCAAAAACTTTTCTTACAAAGTACAAAATGGCAAGAACTTTCTTTAGAAAACAAAAAACCAACTTTCTCTCTCATTTTTAAACTTTAAACTTCAAACACTTCAAAATTTTTACAAAAAACATATTTTTACTATCTTATGTTGACATACCCTTTAGGGTTATTACATTTTTCGAAACTAAAAATAAACAAAAACTGCGAGATATTATTGTGTTATTGTTTTCGTCGCGAATAGTAATGGTAAGACACAATTATAAATTATTTAATCAGCACGCTTTGAAGAAAAGAGTGTCACGACATCTGGGATGGTTAATATAATATATAGAAATGAAGTAGGCATCTTACTTTCATTTCTAAAGCTAAGCCTATGGCTAAGCCTAAAACTAAGACTAAAACTAAGGCTAAGGCTAAGGCTCAGGCTCAGGCTCAGGCTCAGGCTCAGGCTCAGGCTCAAGCTCAAGCTCAGGCTCAGTCCCAGACTCAAGTTTAACCTCAAGCTCAAGTTCAGGCTCAGGCTCAGGCTCAGGCTCAGTATCAGGCTCAAACTTGACAGTGTGCTCCCGAAAAAAAGAAGGACGACTAAGTCTATACTCAACTAACTCTAGCTCTAGTTGTAGTTTAAAGAGAACTTTCTTTATTAAAAATTTAAAAAATTTAAAAAAATTTTTTAAAAAGCTTCAATAAATGTGCATTTTTTTTGAAACAGGCGTTTTTAAAAGACTGGATTAACTACAAATTGAAGCTGGGTTTAACTGTGATTAATCTTCTTTTGGCTCAGTTCGTCCCACGAATTCGGCCATATTAAGCTCTAGTGAAATATTATTGCGCAACACTAACCAAACTTCAAAGGTTAAAATTAAAATGAACAAATGTTCAAAAATGGCAAAAACTTTCTTTACACTACAAAAAACGGCAAGAAATTTTTTTACAAAGCGAAACATTGCAAGAACTTTCTTTACAAAATGAAAAATGACAAGAACTTTCTTTACAATAAAAACAAAACAAAAAAATTCACAGAACGTTTGTTTTGCTATTTTTCTTGGAACACTAATAGAAAAAATTAAGAAAAATCGCAGTGAATCAACCAAGAGAAAACAAATCGAAAGTAAAGGGACATTATAAATGTAATGTGCTTACATTAGTTCATTTGCTCTTTTCA